AAGCTTCTATATTTAGTAAAATAATATAGATATCTAAATAGCAGAGGAGACTTAAAAGATAAGTATAAATTAAATATAGTATAGGAGATAAAAGAGACTAATAAAGATAGAGGTAGCTAGAGGAAAATAATTAACTTAGCTTGTTATAATAGTTAAAGTTAGAAGAGCATAAAAATAAAAATAATATTTAAGTTTAAACTATAATTATATAACCTAAAGGTTATTAATAGAAAGTAAGAAGACTAGACTTTTTATAGTTACTACTAGTTAAATTTTATAATATAAGGCTGATAGCCTTAAGCTTTTATAATAATAGCTTCATTAAACTTTTTAATAAAGTATTACAAATATTACTATACTAAATATACTTTTTTTAAGAAAGTAGCTAAAGATATTACTATATAAAATAATATCTATATATTAAGTAAAGTTTTTAGCTTTAGTAAATACTTTAATTCTAATTAAGAATACTTATAATAGTTTATTTTATAATATATCTTCGACTTTATATAGGCTCCTTTATAAGCCTTACTAGAAAAATAGGTTATATGGCTAATATAAACTTTATAAGCTTATAATTTAAAGATACTTAAAAAAGCAACTTCTTCTTAAATAATATATACTTTTTTTATAAACTATTTAGTCTCTTTTAGCTACTAATTATTAGTAGTTATAAGTTTAGTTTATTAAAACTTTAATTTTACTTTTTTTATTACTACTAAAATATCTTATGAAGTAAGTAAATCTCTTTTTTTTATTTTTTTATTTATATATAACTACTTTCTATATTTTATAAGATATCTTACTTTTTTAGAGAGGTTTTTAAAATAAATTTGTATTTTAAAAATATAGAAGTTAGATTAAGAACTTATGAAAACTAATTTGTTTGTTTTAACTATTTTAAGATTACTTATATTATATATAATATCTACGTTTTAATTAATCTTAATAAATTTAATATATTTACTTTTAAAAATATTAATAGAATAAATATCCTCTCTTAAAAATTATATTAATTAAATTAATGAAGCGAAATAAAACGTTTATAAAGAAAAATGTTATAAAATAGAAATAAAATAAAGCTTAAAAGAAAAAATAAATAAATATAGCTAATTCTCAATAAAAAGTAAGTAAAAATAAAATTATTTGAGTTTTAATTATTTTTATATTTATATACAATTAACTTTTTCTTAAGCTAATTAAGTTAACATTTTTTATACTTAAAGATCTTTTTTCTAAATTAAATACAAAACATTTATTAAATAATAATTTATTTTAATAAATAAAGCTTAGAATAACTAAAAAAACTAAAGTTTAATTTTTAAAATATATTTAGATTTAATTTTTACTAAATATTAAAAAAAAGCTTATAAATATATTTAAGCTTTAGATTTTAAACAAAGTAAATAAATACTATATTTCATTTAAACTTATCTTAAAAGTTAAAGTTTTACTTGTTTTTGAGTTATATATTTTGAATATTTCTAAATTAAATAATAATATAAATTCTATTTATATATTTATATATTTATAAGAACCTATACATTAAATTACTTTGAATATTAAAAATAATAAGTTATTTTCATTTTTAAATAATAATTAGACTATTTGTAAATAAGTTTATAAAAAGTAATTTAGCTATAAAGATTATTATAAAGAGAACCTATTTAGAAATTTCTTATCAAGCTATTTATTCAAATATTTATTTAATATATTTTTGTAACTAATAAATTAGTTATTATTATTAAATATTACTTTATAAAATATCAAATATGTAAAAATTCTTTATAATTAAATATTCTTTTTAAGTTATTAAAGTTTAGATTACTTTTAATTAAATACGATAAATAAATTAAAATCTTATTACTGATAAAAAGTTATTTTAACTTTTTCTTCATTTTGAATATTATATAAAGATCTTTATTAACATTTTTTATTTAAACCTTTTATAAAAAGTATATAAAATCAATAAAGTATTTATAATAATTAGTAATAAATTTAATAGTTTATAAATTTTAAATTTAATTTTAAGAGGATTAAAACTTAAAAAATTAAAATTCAAAAATATTATTTAAGAAATTAAGAAATATTTATATTAATAATCTATTAATAAAACATAATCTTTATAGTATATTTAGTTTTTTGAAGATTATATAAAATTAAACTTATACTAACTAAAAGGAAATTTATGAATTAATGTTTAAAATTATAACAGAAATTTAAAATAACATTAAGATTAAAATATTTTGAAAAAACTAAAAAACTAATTTAAATAAGAAAATATTATAAAAATAAAAATAAATATTATTAAAAATAAATCATATTTCAAAAATACAGTTATTATTATAATTATATTATTATATATAAGCTTAATTATTTTTAAAAAGTTTAAAAAGTATTTAGTTTCATTTTTAATATAAACAAAGAAAATAATAGCTTTTTATAGCTTTTTATAATCTATAATATTATAGTTTTAAATTATATTATTAATATTTTTAGTTAATTATTTCTAAAATGATAAACTTTTTCTAAAACGTAGAAAATTTATTATTCAAAATTAAGTTTTGATAATTTATAAAATAAATATAAAAGTCTTTTATAAAATTCTAAATAAATTTGATAAAAAGTAAATAAAAACTCTTATTTCTAAAAATATATTTTATATTAAAAGGTTAAAATTAATATTATTTTAAAATCTTTATCTAAAAATATTAATATTTAGGTAAATAGATATATCAATAAACTTTATTATAAAAAGATTAAAACTTTATTCTAAGTTTTCATATATATTAATAATGTTTTAGGTTTTAAATACAAATTTAATTTAATTTTATTATAAATTTTATTTAATATACATTACTTGAAAATTATAAGTATTATACAATTAATGATTATAAGTTCTTAAAAATAACGTTTTTATACTTTTAAATTTATATAAAAAATACTATTTATTTTTGATATTTATAAACTAAGTACTTCAATTAAAAGGCTTTTGAATATTTAGTTTAAAATATTTAAAAAATAAAAAATAAAAAGTAAAAAATAAATTTATTTAAAATATAGAAATTATTTTATAATTTATTTATAATAAACTACTTTATAAACCCTTTTTAAATTTAAAAATAAATATTTATGCTAATATATTTCTTAAAATCTATGTAAGTATTTAGAAATTTATTTATATGTTTGATAATCTTTTATATTTAAAAATAAATATATAAAAAAGCCTTTTAAGTTTTATTTTAAAATAAAATTTATTATAAAGTTTTCTAAATATTATAAACTTTTAAAAATTAAGTTTTTAAATAAAAACAACTCTTTACATATAAAATAAAATAAATTATTAATAGACGTATTATTCTAATCTAAAGAATAACTAAATATTAATAATAAACTTAAGAAAATAATATTAATATTAACCTCCCCCTTTTGTATATAAAAAAGCTCAAATAAGAAAGAAAAAAGTGATTATATAAAATATATAGATATTAAAATTAATATAATTTTTATTTAAGTTATAAAATAAATTAATATTTATAGATATTTTGTTATATAATATAAGCTTTTCTATATTAATAAACTAAAAATCTCTTAATAAAACTTAAAACGAATAATTTAAAAGATAACTTAACATATAAATATTAACTTATAATATATTATGAAACCTAAAAACTTAATTTTACTTAAAAAGAAATATACATTTATATTTATGAAATATATATTTTTAAGAAAATAATAATAATAATAATAAAGTTTAGAATAATTTTATCTAGCCATATTAAATATTTTATAAAATGTATATTCAATAATAAATAGAAATAATAATTATATTAATAAGTTACTATGATATAAATATTATAATTATAATTTATTAAAATATAAATAAAAATACTTTTATTAATTTTAATTATTAGTATTATAAAAAATATATTTATACTATATTTTTATTAAAGTTATTCTTAATTAGATTACGTTTTGGTACTATATTTTATACCAAATTTAATATCAATATTACTTATTTCTTTAATTTAAAATACTTTTTTTCAACTTTTTAAAAATCTAAATATATTATTTATTTAGTAGTTTTTATTATTTGAAAATATTCCTTTATTTTATTAGTTTCTTAATAATTATTTTATAAATAACTAATTTAATCATACTTAAAATAATAATATATCTCTTTATTAAAGCTTTTATTTATAATATTATATAGAATATATATTAAGCTTATTATTTTAATATATCTATTTATAAGTTATATATATTTTAATAAATACTAAACTTATTCTAAAAGCTATAAACTAATATAAATTAATATAAAATATTATAAATATAATATAATTTATTTCGTTTTTACATAATATTCTACATAAAGTTTATATATTAAATATAATTATAAGAAATTAAATATTTAATACATAGTTAAAAAACGCATAAAATACTACTTTATATTAATAGTTAATTCAAATACTATTTATATATTTTTTAAAATAAAATAAAAATAAAATAAAAGTTTTACTATATTTTACTTTAAGTTTTAATATTTTTTTAAAAGTATAATCTATAATAATAATTCTTTAATTATTAAATAATTTAATTAATAATTAAATAAGTTTAAATAAATAGAAGCTATAATTAAGCTAAAATAAAACAGTAAGGTGCTTTATATAAATAGGATGTTTAAGCTATATAGATAATTTACCTAGTCTTTATACTATAGTTACTTAGCTATAGCATCATTTTAATAACCATACCCTGCGCTCATACCTAATTACTGCCTCAGGCTATAGGTTTTCAGTTCAGTGCAGCCCCACATATCTAGTCAGCCTTGAGCGCCGCATACCTGTCAGCCGCACGGCTTGGACATCCTATTACCTCCGCGCCATTTGTCGCCATTGCGAATTCTTACGCTGCCAATTCGCTCCGGTTTACTCGGGTGGCAGCTGACGCATCAACTTCCCCTCCTCTCCCGACCTAACGACGCGACCTCTACCGCCGACATGTCGACTCGCCAAGCGGCCTTGTGAGTCCCCTCAATGCTTAGACTCCATGGGGAGTCACTGAGCTGACATGTTCATTCATAGGTCGCTCTATCGACGTTCCCTAAAGCTCGCTCTCGATTGGGCAGTCCACCGTCATCTCTGGAGGGGCCAGGCCCTGTACATCAGATCTCTCTTCGAAGCAAACCGCGGCGTGACGGATTCGCGGCAGAAAAGGGTGAGTTAGTCAAGGTCATCTGCCAGATGAATGTGGCAATGGTTGCGGCAGGTCGCCAGGAACAGAAGCTAATTCGCTGCGTAACAGGAGCTTCTGTCCGAGACGGAAAAGCTACTGGCGAGATGGAAGCACCCAGAGCCGTACGTGCATCCCACGGCACCCGGCGGTTCGTCATCCCTCGACTACACGATTGTTCGTTGAAATGGTTGCTGATAGTGGTTCAACAGGATCGAAGTATGAGCGTAACCTCCGTGCTCCTATCTTGGACCGTAAGTTTCGAGCATGTCTACTATTACCTCATTATGGCACGCTGATAAGTCCTCTAGCCCCGCGCCAATTGAAGTTTTGAGCGATGGAAGCAGAAAAGGAAGGCATTGATTCTCGGATTCGGCGACGGTATGGGCATGCATGTATCCCAATTCAGCACTATTTGCCAAATCATCAGAATTGTTCACGCAGAACCAACCCTGTCGTAATCCACATTCGATGTTGCTAAGACATCGAATCCAGATTGCATGCCGTAATACCCCGGCGTGCGCAGATGTAGGGGTTCAGAGCCTGAGGCGGTTTCAATATCGCACGGCTGAGGACTACGCCGGAAGGCCTGGCTGCGGAAACACGAACAAATGTCCCGTGTCCAACCCAACCAGACATGTGGCAACCATTCACTGTCCGACATCATGACACACATGAAAACAAGCCAATAAATAGCAGAAAGTGATCTTCAAAAGGTATTCTCATTCGTAACCACAGCTTCCGCTGCCGTGGTATTATTGTACAACCCAAACGTGAAAATCAACCATGAACCCTGAACCGTGACCCCGATGTCATGACAACCCAAAGCAGCCGACCAGCACGAAAGAAAACCAAACCAGCGAAACCCATTTACAGTTCTTGGCTCTGGTTCTTGCCAGTCTTGCCAGTCTTCTTGGGCAGCAAGTCTATGAACGGTGTCAGAATAGAGGTACAGAACATGCTCTATAGGAGCGAACTTACTCTGGTGGATGTTGGGCAAGACACCACCCTGGGCGATGGTGACGTGGCCCAAAAGCTTGTTCAACTCCTCATCGTTGCGGATGGCGAGCTGAAGGTGACGGGGAATGATACGGGTCTTCTTGTTGTCGCGGGCAGCGTTGCCAGCAAGCTCGAGAATCTCAGCGGCGAGGTACTCGAGGACAGCAGCGAGGTAGACGGGGGCACCGGCACCAACACGCTGAGCGTAGTTGCCCTTGCGGAGAAGACGGTGGACACGACCGACGGGGAAAGCGAGACCGGCCTTGGAGGAACGGCTGAGGAGATGTTAGAGACATGTTGAACAGCGCGTACAAACGCGAAGAAATCCGTGCGCGGAGCGCGTCCTGGATTGGAATGCTTACGATTGCGCGTTCTTGGAACCGCTGGCCTTGCCGCCGGACTTGCCGCCTCCAGTCATTTTGATTGAGTTTGGTGTGGTGAAAGAGTGGGAAAATTTGAGGTTGCGAAGATTGACACTGGCGTGCGACTGGCGTGTTGGTTCGCTGGGGTTGGGGATGGAAATGTGAGATGATGAGAGAAGGAAGCGAAGATGGTGGGGAGTGAAGTAAGTTAAGTAGTTTTCGCGTTGGAGGAGCTCAATCACGGATCACCAGCGCGCAATTTAGCGCTAAGCCGAAAGCAGAAATTCCATGTTGTGGTGCATCATTTTTTTTGGAGCTTGCAGGAGCACCCAAGGTGGAAGGTACGTATCGGCCCCCCTAAAGCCGCCTGGGCCCTGCGTTCCGCTAGGGAATAAAACCCGGGGTCCTCTCCTGCTCCTCTCGACATTTCCACACCTGCTTAGATTATCGTTATCGTTGCTTGTATGTCCGGCTGTGGTTTTACTTCGTTGTACCTTCTAATTATTTTACTGGTCCATCCTCCTCGTTCCATCACTCACTATTCTTTCTTGATTCCACTTCCGTCTGTTATTGCCTATTTTCCGCATTTCACTCTGCTCTTCTGGTTTTCTATTTTCCCTTTTCCTCTCACCGTCTGTCTCTCTGTCCCAATTGCCCTCACAAACAACCCAATCATACTTGCGAGCACGCGAGGAAACCAATGTCGGGATCAACATGACAGCCTCAATCATTCAGGTCGGATTCGTCGTAAAACCGCCCCATATCCACCACTTTTGACTCAAGTGTCGATGCCAAATCACGGCCTCCAACCTTTGTTCCCGAATCCGTTCTGAGCTTCGGACGCACGTATGACAACCTGTTCTCCGCGGTTTTGTACCTTGAATAAGCAGGCGTACTCACCCAGCTATGCTTATGAGGGGTGTGGTAAGATTCATTATGTGCTTCCATATGAAATCCATGGGGTACAAATTCCCCCCTCTTCTCTCGCAGCGTGAGCCACCTCTACCGTAAATACACGCGTGTTCTGGCCCAAGGCTGGAAAGAGACCCTGAAATGCGCACGAGACGGCATGCTCCAACGCCCCAGTTGGCTGGATCCTCTGCAGCCTAATGTGTTGGTTTACTCTAACCCACGCATTCGGGCCCGTCCCGACAAACAGATTCAGATCCAGCGCCCTCTCTTGGTCCTTAGGAACAGCTTCCTTAGGGTCCGAATCCCTGCGTGGCATCCGTGATGTGTTAAATGACTTAGCCTTGTGGCAATGGAGAATGCTGGACTCGGAAGAGGGGGGAAAGAGGGGCTAAGAATCGGAACTGGAGGAATCCACCGATTTGGCTTCTGCGGTGGTTCGGACTCTGGCGTTTTTGCGACGGAGAGGACGCGTCGCGATCTAGATTTGTCTCCACGCTTGGCTATTGTGCCTTGGCCGCCGAGGCTCCCTTTACTTAGGTACCTTACCTAATGCTGGATCAGGGGATTTAGTGTCACTCGAACAGACTGTCACTGGGTTCAGGTACCATCCACCCGCGTTGAGGGCAGTGACGCGTACCTACCTCATGGTGGAAACTTTAGCACGACATCGCGTTCGGCGGTAAATCCCATGCAGGAGCGGAAGCGGAAGAGACAGAATAATCCATTCTCTGCCTGTCGTGTGGCAGAATGCGCTCTACCTATGCAGGCATTAGGAGTGGGTAGCGACAGGATGTGTCTCTCGAGTCCTGAGATAGGCAAGCACGATTGATTACAGTTAACGCCTATTGCTCATGATTTATACTGATGATGCATCGTCACCCATCTCTCAACTTGTATGCACGTTGACACAGTAGACTACAAATTATTTCGATTCTAATTCGCAGCTTGTGCGTTTTTCTTGCCTCACGATGTGTTGCCGAGGAGTCTCCTTTGCGACAGATGGTGGATCTGCATTCTGGACCTGAAGTCGTTGTTCGGGAATGAGAGCATACGCTTTGCTCCTGAAGTCCTGAGTTGAGCACTAACGCCAAACTCCATCCAGTCCCTTATCCTCAAGACGCATCGGCAGCAGGCGACAGCTTTCCCCCAGAAATTTCCTGATTGGGCAGTGCGCAGGTTGCGTTTCCCTTCTATTTTCCCATGCTTTTGCCTACCCGCCGTACTCTGGGGGATTTTTGGGCGTGTTTCCTGGGCTGTGATTGGTTCTGATCGGTAAACCCGCCGGGTGACACGCGAATCACGAAAACCAACAAAAAAAAACAGTTACCTGTCTGCACGTATTTTTTAGCGCGAACGCGTGTGTATCCTAGTCCGGCAGCCGCTGTCGCGGTCTCCACTCATAACCCAAGGCTGGCTGTTGAAGGACACCCGGGTTACTGTCGCGCAGCACGGCACCCCTGGTCCACCAGCTGCTGCCCACTGACCACCCACCCCCCTCCGAGGCTCTTCCCCCCAAAATCACTCTGGCCTCGCATCAAATCAGTAATGCCGCTAGTGCCTGTCGCGTCCAGCTACAAAAACCCAGTCCACCCCCCCCAATCTTGTCCATCCCACAACATCTCTCTCACTTCATCAACCAGCCTCACAACCCGTCGTCAGACATCGCATATCTCAACTACTTTCACCACCACACAAACTTCCACTCTCCTCCAAACCAACCGTCAAAATGCCCCCCAAGGCCGCCGACAAGAAGCCCGCCTCCAAGGCCCCTTCCACTGCCTCCAAGGCCCCTGAGAAGAAGGATGCCGGCAAGAAGACCGCTGCTTCTGGCGACAAGAAGAAGCGCACCAAGTCTCGCAAGGAGACCTACTCTTCTTACATCTACAAGGGTAAGTCTTTTTTCAGCTTTCCATGTTGCGTTCCCTCGCGACGCGTGCACAACACGCGCATAATTTGCACTCCAATTTGCTAACTCGAAACAGTCCTCAAGCAGGTCCACCCCGACACCGGTATTTCCAACCGCGCTATGTCTATCCTGAACTCGTTCGTCAACGGTATGAAATTACGCTTCGCATCGCAGGCGCGTCATTCTAATATACACGCAGACATCTTCGAGCGCGTCGCCTCTGAGGCCTCCAAGCTGGCCGCCTACAACAAGAAGTCTACTATCTCGTCCCGCGAGATCCAGACCTCGTGAGTTATTCGCTGACCTTGACACGGATCCATTTGTCTGACAACTACAGTGTCCGTCTTATTCTGCCCGGTGAGCTGGCCAAGCACGCCGTCTCGGAAGGCACCAAGGCCGTTACCAAGTACTCTTCTTCCACGAAATAAGGGGTGCTTGCGCTGCTTTTCTTTTCGGGCATTGGATTTTACTTGGCATTTGGGTGTCATGATGAGACCTGCCAAGGTTCCCAATATCCTTGGAGTCTCTTAATGCGTTACGGATGGTTTGCTTTTATTGGGGGCAATGTCTTCACGGTCAAACGGGGTTTGCGGGCTGTACAATACACCTTGAGAAATAGGGTTTTCGGACGAATGAATTCGTGCACATGAACACAACACCTGGACCTTGGCTTTTGAACGTTTTGAAATTACTCTTCCAAGCCGCTGACCTGGTGCCGGCTGGTCTGGTGCACCTAGCCCAGCCCGTGTGCCATTCGATACCGCTATACGGGGCACACCATCTCCCGAACGCCGGCGAAGCATGTTATCCCAAACCCGCCTTGCTGCGCTTGACGATATGGGCCACTGGCTGCAAGATGCCTTTGTTATTGAGCGCACCGAGGGCGGTGCCGCTGCTCCAGCCCATTTTTTCCAGCATCGCCCGCCCCTTGTTCTCCTGGCCCAGTTCCGGCGCCGATCCGCCCACGACTTCTCCATCCCGATAGATAACGCCTGCATGCCCGCCGCCTCTCCCACGACGCGCTGATTGTTTTTGTACAGCGGCTCGGAGGGTAGTATCATTGCGGGGGAAATACTTGCGACCGACACGAGCGATAGCGGCATCAAACACTTCCTCTGCAAACTTGGCAGTTCTAAGGGTGCGATGAAGCATGGGGCGACGTTGGTCGCCTGACCCGGTTGACTTGGATTTGATGTTAAACTTGCTCGCCAGCTCATGAATAACTTTCCGGGCATGATTGTCCATAGGGGGTAACGTGAGGCTGCGCGCTGCTGTCAGTTTTGGGGTCTGTTGAAGACAAGTCGGATAGGTAGCAACTGCCGACTTACATGGTGTTGGTGCCTAGGAGAAATGTCCGAAGTTCATCGGCAATCTGGTCTAGACCCATGCCGTGGGGATACTTCACCCTCAAGTCTTCAGGGTTGACGTTCTTTCCAAGTAGGCCTTGGGCGCGCAAGGCCTGTCGCTCTCGCTTTCTCTCGGCCTTCTCTGCGCGGTCATTCTTCCAAGCCGCCAGCATCTTCTCCTCAAGCTCCGAATCAGATATGTCGAATACTGGAATCCTATTTTTAGCGCCCTTGCCCTTCTTACGCTTCAAAGCAGGTCGATCCCAATCCATGAAGTCGAAGCCATCGATCTCACCAGCAAATCGGTCTGCCGCTAAACGAAATAGGTCATCCTCATCGTCTTCCTGATCGCTGATTTCGCTGGGTAGAATTGCCTCTTCACCGTGAGATGCATCGAATGAACCCAGGCTAGGCAAGTCTGTGTGGAGAGAATCTGGAACTGCATTGTTGCCGCATACGACTTTGCCTTTCCCGGCCTGGTGATCTTTGGGTGCGTGGTCGGCAATCCTGGCGTCGTTCAAACCATCAGCATTGGTTGCTATCTGCGCCTCGCTGCTATCATCCGACAAAGAGTTTGCCTGCTGGGCTGCGAGGGTATCGAGAGACCCGTCGATACTTTCAAATTCGCTGAGGGAGCCGCCCAAGTCTCGTCGAGAATATGCGTCTGCCGGTAGTAGGCCTTCGCCATCGCCATGCTCCCGCATGTTAGCAATGTAGTCTGCAATCAATTCCTCATCGGCAAGACGTTTTGCTGCTCTTGCGCCTCGGGGTTGTTTGCGCTCGAGGCTGAAACTGTCATCTGCCGAGCCCTCCGTATCACTATTGCTCGGTAGGACGGTCTGCTCCATGGCCTTGATCTCCGTACATATTCCATGTAGGTTGAATGGCTTCTCTGTCCCGCCGGAAGCTTCAGGAGCAGCCTTATTACGGCCTTTGAACAAAATGACCTCCTCACTCGAGTCGGACGCGGCAGGCGAGGCGCATCGGAATTCAAAACCAACGGCGACATTGTGCTGCAAGTCTCTGTCACCTGTGACATCAAGAAAATACGGCAGCGACTCGGACGCCTGCTCAGGCGGCTTGAGGGCGAGATCGATCTTGAGATCTGGAAGAGCAGTGGCATCCGGGTCCATTTCGGAGGTTTCGTTGTCAATTCCTGGCGATGTTCCCTTAGTCTCGTGGAGCTGTGTCGCGTTGTCTCGAGACTGCAGGATCAACTTGTCGTGCGCTTTGTATTCGAGTTGAGCAGCCTCGGCTTTGTGCAAGATCTCTTGTTCCAGTTCCTTGAGGGGCTCGATAGATCCGTTGCTGACAAATTTGACAGGTTGATGTCGTAGTCTCGTATCGGCACTCCAGGGCGAGGAACGGTGCGCGGTGCTACGGGCCTCATCCTGCAACGTAAACCCTGGAACAAAGGCGTCAATCTTGGTTTACGGCACATGAATCCGTCAGCTGGGAACAGTTTCAACTAACCGGTCGAAGCAGCGTTGACTGAGGCAGGATACCGATCCGTAGCTAGACTAGGTCGCAATTGAAAAGACCTGCCTGACAGTGCTCTCGCACCGCCTCTCTTGCCACGACGTGGCATCACCTACGCGTGAACCACTGCTGGTAGGGAAAGTTGTGGCTTTGTTTGTGATTGAGAGAATTTCCGTGGAAGAAGCCCCGTGAGAGGGCCTCGGGAAACGAAAGTCGACCTTTTCCGAAGCTAGGAAATCCAAACTTTCGGCCGTCGATGGGAATCGTAGGTGGGGGGCTCTGACGCAAAGAAAAAAATAGAGCCTGGATGAAGGTGACCACGCACGGGTTTGAGCCGCTTATCGATAACACGGGTGCAGGTGGGTTGAAGTGGGGCACGTTGAGACGATCAAAAGAGGACCATCTCGGTGCTCCGTAGTCGTCCATTAGTCGTGTGTCGCCCAATCGCCACCATAGCATGTTAACGAAATACAGGTGGCGATTAGGTAGAAGACCCGCTGACATGCCAATCATGGCCCCATGTGGCTATCAAAGGTAAGGTTGGTACAGTGACTAGCGTACCTCACATCACTAAGCCCCGCCATGCATACAGCATACCAGGTAGGCCGATGCGTCACAGGGCCACTTGATTGTGGCTGTTACCCATCGGCTGGGCAGCTTAGGGAGGACCTTCTCAACCTACACATCCCATCTTTCCTAACGTCGCCTGGCAAAGGCAAAGTATGTGGAATCCGCTGTACCTTAGTAGCGAATCTACGAACTGAGCACTGTCTTACCCCGCAGATCCCTCCCCATCGAGCCTCAGTGTACGTATTTCTGTGCCTTACCCCAATCTGCCTTCTCCGATATACTCTGTACATAGCAGGTGATCACCTTGCTCCGACCTAGCACTGTTCAGCCGTGTTCGCGCGATCACGGAACCATCAACCACCGGCGAGGCTCAGCCCAATTCATCACGTCGCTCTAGAACTCCTGGCGACAGCGCGATACAAGCAGTGTCCACTGTCAACAGTCACCTCGCGCTCGCCTCTGTGTCTTCGATCTCAGCTTCTGTTTCGGCTGCTGACCCCCAGACGCAAACACCAGCATCCTCTCGGCATTTGGACCGAGCCTATACTCTCGATGGCATCCGCGATGGCTGCTGTGGATCTCGGCCGGTACCGTCGAATCGTGCAGATATTCTGGGATCCTGAGCCTACAAATGACTACCGGGTCGACCTTCCCGTCTGGTGCTTGGGTCGGTCATACAATCTAAGCACCAAGGCTGGTAAAGATAAGGGCAGCCGTGGCCAGACGCAGCCTACAACAGACACTGCCAGTTCCCAGACCAACGTTAATAGCCCATCACCAGTGCCCCCAGCTCTGGGTCCCGAGACTCCTCCCGATTCAGTGTCCAGCAGTTTCTCCTCCTCTTTGGCGTACGACGATGATTACTCTGTTCAAGATGGAGGTTGGCCCGCTGCATTCTTGGATGATTTCGAGTCCAAGTTCTGGATGACATATCGGTCCGAATTCGAGCTTATAGCCAAGTCTACTGATCCTCGCGCTTCATCAGCGTTGTCCTTGTCGATGCGGATCAAGAGTCAGTTGGTTGATCAAAGTGGGTTTTCATCCGACAGCGGATGGGGTTGCATGATTCGGTCGGGTCAGATGCTTCTGGCGAACGCGATGGCTATCACCAATCTCGGTCGTGGTACGTCCTGTCTGCTCTGCGTTTCAGCCCTAAAACCCCTGGCTTCCATAATGGGTGTCGCCGATGAGTGATCAAGTCGACTAAAAATGGTTGGTCCAGATTGGCGACGAGGTGCATCACGAAGTATGGAACGTCAACTGCTTTCCATGTTCGCCGATGATCCAAGGGCGTCTTTTTCGATTCATCAATTTGTCCAACACGGCGCAGTTGCTTGCGGAAAATATCCTGGGGAATGGTTCGGCCCGTCTGCGACTGCCCGCTGCATCCAGTAAGTTATATCTGACTGTGGTCCATCTGGTTATGTTTGAAGTCACAGATGATCTAACCACCGACTGCAGGTCTCTGACCAACGCCCAAGAGCAACCGTCTTTGAGGGTATATTCTACTGGCGATGGACCGGACGTTTACGAGGACAAATTTATGAAGATTGCGAAGCCTGATGGCACTCGATTCCATCCGACACTCATTCTGGTGGGTACGAGGCTGGGTATCGACAAGATCACACCTGTCTACTGGGATGCTCTGATCGCTGCTCTACAGATGCCACAGTCCGTAGGTATCGCCGGGTGAGTGGTCCCGGATACAGGAGCTTGGTGTGGTACTAATTCTCCCGCAGAGGCCGGCCATCTGCCTCACACTATTTCATAGGGGCACAAGGTTCCTTCCTGTTCTATCTAGATCCCCACCACACGCGTCCAGCTCTTCCTTATCATTCGGATCCATCAAGATATACTGACGCGGACATTGACACCGCCCATACCCGGAGGCTGCGGCGATTGCATGTCAGGGAAATGGATCCTAGCATGCTGATTGGGTTTCTAATCAAAGATGACGATGATTGGTCCGAGTGGCGACGCAATGTTAAGCATGTGCAAGGCAAGGCCGTGATACATGTCGCAGACAACGATCCTGTTGCTGGAGTAGGCGGTAAAGAGAGAGAGAGTGCGATTGACGAGGTGGAAACCCTTAGCGATGACGATGGAGACACTATCCTCGATGTTTGAGGCGAGCAAGGCGCACAGGCGGTCAGCAAACCCGTTCGGTGTCGGGATGACATTTCTTTATTCGTGATCTGGGCATCAGTCTATCCACGACCAGCACATTGAGGCGCAACAGGGCCGGCCGGGGAACATTAAAGGCTTCTTTTAGCAGCATAGGTTTGGATGCATGGATTTGGACATTTTAATTTAGCGAGATGCTACGGGTACAAGTCGTAGTACGCGGAGATGGCGCGGTACTACTTCCTATTTAGGTAATCTATCGCTTCTTCCTTCTACCCGTAGTCTTCGATGTCGGTGTCGCGTGGTCCAATTCTCGAATGTGGGTAAAAAGTTTCGTTTTGGAGGAGAATGTTGATTGACAAACACCACAAGTGTGCTTTGAGTTCATTAGCGACGATGCAGAGCGGGAAAGGACAAGTCGGAACTTACTACGCCGGCCTGAGACTCCCCCGCTGCCTCACGAGCTGCCTTCTTCTCGCGTTTAGCCTTGGCCTTGCCAATTTTCTTGGGCTGTTGACGATCGTCGCCATCGTCGCCAATAGAGAGGGGCCCGATGAGATTGGCAACTTGGTCACTGTCAGGCTTGCACGTGCTCTCTTGTCCACTTTGCCGCAGTGTCGTGTCGTTGGAGAAAAGCCGCTGCTCTACTTCGGCGCGGGAAGCATATTCATCGTCGTCTGAGGAGTCCGAAGCAGCGTCAGAATCGACGGCTTCTTTGGCTGTCGATAAGGTGACGTCCGGCACACTCTCCTCCCCATCAACCTCGTGCACATTGTCACTCTCCAGATTTTGAAGATCCTCGAGCTCTGCCTTGTTTTCCGCCTCACTTTTCTTAATTTGCACCGTGGAGCTTTCTCGGAGGTTGAGATCCATATCTTCGTCTCTCATTTGACGTCGAAGTTGCTGAACTGCCCTCAGGTGCTTTTTGCTCCGCTCATGTGCTTCAAACGACTTTTCGCTCTTGAAAGTCTTGTTGCACACGACACACTCGAGAACTTCGACCTCTGATTCCTCCTCCTCGCTTTCGGGGAAATGACCACCGGCGTCCGCATCATCCCGAGCCTGGGCCCAGTCGGGAACAACGGCGTCAGAAAGCTTTTCAAGATTGGCGGCACGCGAGCGAGCTGCCTGAGCAGCTGCGGCATTTCGCAGAGACTCTTGGCGTTCCGCAGCAGTCTGGGTGTTGGGAAGGTATCGGGGGTCGCGCTTCCGTACAAATGTGACGAGAAATCTTACGGCATCGTTGAAGTCGCGAATGGCTTCGTCGCGTAACTTCTTGTTTTCCTTTTCCATAAGACGGCGTACACGACGATCAGACGCATCTGACACTCTGTACTTGTCCTTCCAGGCAAATGTCTTTCGTGTCGAGAAACTTGCCCAAGCACCGTAAAAGGGCTTGGCGACATCCTCATATCCATCGTCGGAAATGCCAAATGTAGGATAGTCAGGCATATTTCCGGGCGCATACTCTCCAGCAGCGACTTCTTCGTCCAGTAGGTGATCAAACGTTGCCTTTGCGATGCCGAAGAACCCGGACGGTTCGTCCGTGAAGGGGACAGTGGCATTGAAGCGACGGATCAAGGAGAAGATATCATCCGTGGAGGTAAGCTTAACGTTATTGAACTCGGACCCGAGCCCATCTGCATCTTCTGGGTCGGCACCACGCAGAATGGCTTCGCGATGCGAATCATACCATGCTCGCTCTTGAGGGTCGGAAAGAACCTCGTAGGCGGCTTGGACCTCGGCGAAGCGTCGGGTGGCATTGTCGACGTCGCCATGATTTCGATCTGGGTGGAGCTCTAAAGCACGCTTCCTGTAGGCCTTCTTGATCCTACAGAAAATCAGTATAAGGAAGGCTTGGAATTGGAATAGGATGGCGCACTCGTCATCGCTGGCATCGCGCTCGACGGCGAGTAGCTCGTAGTAGCATGTTTTTATGGGCTGAGACGCCGTCCCGGCCGTTTGGTCGCGACCGGAGGATTGTTGAGCGCCCATGTCTTGTTACGACTATGTGATTGTCGCCTTCAGTTAGGTGATGGAGCGGCAGTCTTGATTTTATAACGCCTGATATATCGGGAGAGTAAAAGACGATCCAGCGAAGATGGTCGATGAAAGGCAGCATCCAAATTCGACGTGATGAGGCGGACCAAAACAAGACTTAGAAATCATCGAACTATACAGACCTACGCCGTCTCGGTACCATGAATCTCAACGTTGGGCGCAGGCTTGGTTGTGAGTTGAGGTGAGAAGGACTTCGTTTTCTTCAACCCGAGATGTCGCGGCCAATCGAGCCCGATGAGTCATCCAGCGTCCAGTTCACGGGATATCAACTGCGAACTCAATGCAGTGGACAAATGAGTTTTCAGGCAGCCAGGGGGGTCTTGTATGAGTATTCGTCTCTTCACACACCTATAGCTACGAGTTTTCAAACATACATTGCAGTTCCTCCATATTATCTAGCTGTCGAATAAGATACACATACAACATAACCATGTGACAGAGACATGTCTTAGTAAAGAGTTTGTGACTTCACCGCACCGTGCACTTTAATGCTCCACTTGTCGCGCTGTGACCACTGGCCACTGCGCAGGTTTTTTTTTTCCTTTTTTTCTTAAATCCCGCCATCTCCGGGCGAAAAGAAAAAGAAGGCAATTCTGCAGTTTCTTTTCATTCAATCATACCTAGTTGCAGCTTAACATAGTTCTGACCTCGAACCTCGAAAAGACGGCATGGCGTCCACAAGTTGCAAGATTATGCCGCTTCCACCGGGCCACTCTACCCGTCCGGTGCTGCTCCCCCTTCTTAGCTACACTCAATACGGCTCCAGCGCTGTTTTCACCTTTCTGCAACTTTTACCTAGTATCTACGAAGCTAAGCAAGGATATGTTTGAAACGTGGCTTTTCCCGATTCAGGGTTACCAACTGAAGTACAAGCACAGCCTTGTCTTTAATGGTCTAGACTCTGGAGTTGGTGAGTTCGAGGCGCGGTTGGCGATAACGGATCCACGGATTACTGAATGCCATAAACTCGGACCATTGCAGGCGCTAAACCAGCATGTAGGTCTACATGTGGTACCTCGGGGAGGTGACGTGGGCTGTCGTCTCTTTACCTACCGAAAGTGCCTGGGTAGGTAGCGGAACTCCCCAGCGTAGGTGCATCTACCCAAGCGGCCTGTACCCGCCGTACCTGTACTTGCACCTGTCACTGACGCCACCCATGTCCCTGCCCGTGACAGCTGCGAAAGCTCAGCAAGTCGGGGGGAAGAACAAAGAAAGAAAAATTCGTTACGTGCCTATTTGCTCATTATATAGCGCAATCGTCGCCTTAACACCACCCGTGGTCTATCTTCTTGATGCCTTCCTACCAACAACCCAAGGCCAGCAACGCTTACACGGGAAAGCCATGTCTTCATTCGGCGCCAAGACTGTCGTTTTCGTATACTTGCACTAGTGATTTGATGAGCCATGAAGTTTGCCCATGATTTCAAAGAGACGCTCAGGCGGGAAGGTACGTGCCCCTTCGCGTACATACATGTCCCCGAAGAATGAGACTGGCTGACAGTACCTCATAGGTTTCCCACCTCACTGGGTTGATCTCGCCGTCCCATATAGCCAACTGAAAAAGGTTCTCAAGCGTGTTTCTGGCGAGTTGAACGATCTTGGACTCGACCCAGAGACCTTGCGTCAACTCCTCGACCCTGCTGTTGATTCGCCGCTGGCCGCTAAATACCGTCTTAATGGTAGGCTCTCACCCTCTTTCAACATTTGCAACCGCCGCTCGAACAGACGTCCGCACCAACATGTGTTGACGATTTCTCAGCTGCTGGAAATTCCAAATTGCTACGACCCAAGCTGACTGTCGAGGTCCACATGTGCGATGGCAATGCAGTAGATGCCTCATTAACCCCTTCGTCTCGCGCTCTTCTTCAACGCATTGCCGCACTCCAGTCTCCTATTTCGGAGGGCGACTTTGACATGGATCAGCTGCAATCCTCAGGATCTCAGTCGCCGGAAGAGGCTTCATCAGAGTCGCTCATCTCTGAGTCTGACGTGACCATTGCTGCCGTGGAGGCCAGGTTGTCTACGATCAAGGATCAACCGGCACCTTTCGAGAAGTATGAGCGCATCGAGGTACCCCTTGTCTTTGACAGTGAATTTTTCGACATACTCCAGAGCGATGTCAACAACCTCGACGCACTCCAGGCCAGAGAAGAGAAGGCTATGGTGACAGAGATTATTGCCCTTCGTCAGGATGTGTCGCATCTCACCAAGCCAAGCCGACTCTCCAAAAGCGATCTCGCGAGGTGGCGGGCTATCTTTGAGTTGTACCTCGACGCCCAAGTCTTTTTCTCAACCAATGAACAGGATCATGGCGCTCGCGACAGTCAGACTGCCGCAAAACAATTACAGTGGTTTCAGGCGGAGATCACTAAACGAAATTTGGCCAAAGCCTTCAAAATCCCCGAGAGCAGGGAGGCTCTAGTGCGCTTCATGAGTCTGAATGCTGTCTTGCTTAAGAATCTGCAGTTTCAGGAGATCAATCAGATCGCTATCTATAAGATTCTGAAAAGTACGTGGCTTTCTGGATATTTCACTTCGCTGCTATGCAGTCAACACTAGCTTCGGTGCCAAAGGAAGACTAACAGACGCAGAGTTTGATAAGCGGACTTGTCTTGGAGTTTCCAAGTCTTTTCCGACCCAAGTTCACTCCGACAAGTTGCTGGCTGGATCCGTTGCCAAGGATATATGCGCCCAGATGTCGACCGACCTGGTGTCTGTCGTTCCGCAGATCAGCGACTACTTGTGCCCGATTTGCTTCTCTATCGCCTACCGGCCGGTTCGGCTGGCCTGTCAGCACGTTTTTTGCATCAGGTGCATCGTCAAGATCCAGCGTCGCAACGAGAAAAACTGCCCACTGTGCAGAGCTGACACAGTCATGAAAGCATCCGCAGGTGAGAATGATAGTCCCTCACAAAAACTGACTTCCAGTAAAGGTGGCAAGCCTTGAGTATGTTGCGTACTAATGGAACAATGTGGTAGACAATCTGGACATGCAGCTGGAAAAATACATGCGCAAGTATTTTCCGAAGGAGGCCAAGGAGAAACAACGCGCCAATGAAATCGAGCGAGGCATCGAGGACTACGGGCCCGAATATGTTCATTCTGAGTGTTCCATCATGTAACCATGGGCTGAATTTGGGAGGATGACCTGTTACACTATTCACTGATTTATAGGTTTCGCTAAGAGATACCCTTGACAATTCTGATACAAGTTCTCAGTAGCGAAACTGGGCGACTAAGTCGAACTTTGGACTCCTTATCCCAATTCTTCTTATTTTCATCCAGGTTGGCCAGTGTATGACTCGGTGACTCTAGCATGTCGCTGGTGTTGTTGTTATTGTTTAACAGCTGGTAGCCTTGCGATATGATTGTCAAATTCAGACAACCTTCTGTTCTTCTGCTGCCTTGAGGGCAAGCGCGAAAATGTGCTTCAACTCGTCTGTTTCCTCCAGGCCGACGCTCACGCGGATCAGATCTGGGTCAACGCCCAGACCGGCCGCCCAGTCCAGCTCCTGGTAGTGCGCCAGAAGCACGTAGGGCGACGTCAGGGTGAAGTTGGTACCTAGGCTTGGTCCCTTTGCTGTCTCGAGCGAGTCGAAGAAGGCCATGGCATTCTCTTTCTGCTTGAACGTTACGGACAGAAGCCCCCCGTAACCCCCCTCGGGTAGCTTGCACAGGTCGTAATTGGGTCTTGTCGGGTTCACCTTGGGGTAATAGACACGTTTGACTAGTGGGTGGGCTGAGAGGATGTCGCAGATGGCTTCTGAGTTCGTGTTTATGCGCTCGACGCGAGACGCGAAGTCTCTGCTGTTCCGCTCCATAAAGACAACGTCTTCGGGCCAATACGTATCTTCCAAGTCTTCAGCCCAGGCAGTCTTCAGAGCCTGGTAGTATCTGCCACCAGGATTTAAGATGGCACTACCACCCATGACATTGCAATCACCTGAAAAAATCTTGGTCAGACTGCTCACGACGATGTCGGCGTACTGTAAAACATCCACGTTGACAAAGCTGCCGATGGTCTCGTCCACGACAACACCGAAATCGTATTTGTCCGCAAGACTTCGAATCCGGGACAGATTAGGGCAGGTCAGAAGAGGGTTCCCGGGAAACTCGCAGAAGAGCGCCAGAAATCGTTCCCCATCTCCTAGGCGCTTCTCGAGATCATCTAGATCTTCCTCCGAGGCATGACCGTAGAATACGCAGCCAGGGCCGAATTTTTGCAGGATTTTCAGGGTGTCCACGTAAGGAAATCCGAAGTTGATGGACTTCATGTTACCCCTGGCACGCGTCATAGCCCGGTGAGCGTTGAAGATGGCATTCATGCCACAGGGAAACAAGTGCACATCGCCCTCCTGGAGGTCTTCCTGGCCTCTAGTGTTCTTCCCCATGGGAGGCAACGAAGTGATGCTGGCTTCCATATCAGCGGCCACGGCGCCAGCGATTCTGCGCTTGATGGCAGACTTTGCACGCTCGACGAGGGAGAGGTCAAGGTTGCGTCCGAAACGCTCTTCCAAAAAACGTAGACTCTCCTGTGCCTCGGGCGCACCTGAAGAAGTTGGTTTCGGGGCAGGATGTTTCGTATCGTCGATGGACGACGGGCGATGATATCTTCTGGGGCCACGGCAAGCCTTGCCAACCGGAGACGAAGGTCTCTCGATGGCGGTTAGAAGACCTTCCCTGAGCAGGTCGTGGCAAAACTCGGCTCGGCGACTTGATACGCCATCTCCGGTGTGTTGCCAGTACTGCTTGGTGACAGGGAATGCATCCTGAGAATAAAAGACGGCAGAAACAGTCGGCGACAAGGAGCGCAACAGGGGCGAAACGTCTCTGGACTCATTCAGTCCAAAGTCAATGACGGTGGCGTCGGAAGAGGCGGATGGATCTGAATTCTTCTTGACAAAGTCTAGGCACCGTCTAGCAATGCGGGAAGTAGGGAACAGCATAGCCTGCTGACCAGTTCGGCCATACTGTGACACCAGCTCCTCTGCCAGTGCCACTACGCTCTTGTGAATGAAAAATCTACACTCGTGGTGAGCCGGGGCTTCGAAGTATTCTTGCAACAAAACCCACCTTGGATATCCAGTTGTCATTTTGTTCACGACCCATGGCTGGCCCTCTTCATAACCTACATTCGCCTCCCAGGTTGGTAGGTGAACGCTGACTGCCTAGTGAACCGTCAGTCATTCTTACCCATCTGCAAGGTGTCGGAAACAAGCTGTCCTTACATGGGCAGTGTCAGGAGGTATAGACTGGCCTAGTTCGAAGGACGGCATTTTGGCTGGCAGGTTGCTCCCTACTGTCTGCTATTCTGCAGTGCCCGGGAAGTTAGAACCCAACGCATGTAACAATGAATCAACGGGCAATGAATATCTGACCGAGACGACGACTCACTGGGCTTGCTGAGACAGAGGTTCGCACTGGATGCCCGCAAAAAGTTGACCGCGCCAAGTTGATAAAATGAGTCAATGCAGGGTCAAGATTAGGCCGATGAAGAAAGAGGGCCCCACCGGCGCTAGGACAGAGAGGAGACTGACAAAAACCAGGTATCCAAACGCTGTATTTGTCGTCGGTGTGTCCCCACCCGTGCTTGTGTTCGTTGAATTAGGTGGTAGGTAGTACGGAGTCGAAGGCTGGAGAAAAGTAGTAATTTGCTGTGCGTATGCGAATTCGAACTTTGCCAGCGCTTGACTCGAGGCGTATAAATCCGCAGGGATTGGAGGGGGGAAAAAAAAGCTGGGCAACGCTGTTGGCATCCAGGGTCAGCAACCTGCGGGGCGCCGAGTATCGGAGCTTGACACGCTTGAATACCCCTCATTGTAGTTGCAAAGTGCCTGTAGAGAAGGAATGCAGCGGCTCCTCACCAAGGCGCACGTCATGCCCGAGACTACATCACAACCGCGGCCCTCTCTCTGAGCACTCTGATACCAAAGCGAGTTAGTTATTGACTGAAACAATATAAAGCAACCATGGCCCATTTTTCAAATCCAGCCGGGCCGTCGCCCACGGATAATCTAGACCATTCCATACCGGCACAATTGAGACCTCACCCTCTCCTCAACAGACACATGTTTGACCGTCCTCTATTGCGCACAAGAGAAAATAGTAAATGAGTGGTCACAAAAAAGAACAGCAAATGCTACTACATGCAACGATACCTGGCCGTATGTAAGCGGCCCTCGTGCCCACCCCGCCCAACTTGGCATATATATATAGATACGCACTCTGACTCATCCTCCAGTCCTCGTGCTGTTGGCCGAGTCATCTGTTAATTGTTTATAGTTCTCGACTTGAAGTTCTTAACCAGGCCTTCGCTAGAACCACGCACATGTATGGACTAGCGCGTAAACGCGAAATAATTGTTTCCACGTAACATCACGTTTGCAGGCCTTGCAATTCGTCTCGCCTTCTTTAGTGATACTGGCGTCTGCTCGTTCTGCTACCAATGCAGCTGATGCTGTCACTCGGAGCGACACTGACGACATCGTCCTCCCACCTGCTGCCAGCACGGCTCTCCGGCGCAGGAGCACGCGCTGCTGGCATGAATGTAGGTGCTCGTGTGGCTGGCGGATATCCAAACACCTGTTGCTGGTTGGCGGCTCGAACAATGGTTGGAGGAGCCCGAACCGGAACTTTGGTAGGCGTTCTGCTCGGCGCTTTACTTGGCACATATGTCGGCGCATGACTGGGTGCTTTGGTCGGAGCTCTGCTGGGGGCGATGGTAGGGGCCCGACTGGGAGCAGCCGTGGGTGCCCGGCTGCGGACATCAGTCGGAGCTCTACTCGGAGCATGAGTGGGGGCTCTGCTTGGAACAATGCTTGGAGCCTGCGTCGGCGCGCGGCTGGGAGCCGTACTCCTGCCCCCCAGAATGGTCTCAACGGTGGGTGGCGGCGGGCGGACGGTTGACTGGGATCTGGCACTTCTGGCCGAGACATACGTTGCAGCGTCGTCGACCACGGTACGAGGCACGGCCGACTTGCCAGCTATGCTAAGTCCAGCGTTGCTTTGGTGCTCGTAGTCGGTGATCATGAGCGGAGCCGCCCTGGGAACAGCGGTCTGACTACGAGAGTGAACGGTGCTGGCCCTCTCAAGTTGGTAACGGGACGCATGACTTCGGCCATCGTCATCGACGTCTTCGCGAGCCCGGCTGCCGGCTTGGCTGTATTTGGCCGCGTACTGATGCGGGACACGGTTGTCGGGGAGGGTCTGGTACGCTTCGGGATAGCGGATCTTCTCGACAGTTCTCTCGACCTCGACGTAACGCGGTGCGGGCTGCTGATCCGAGTACTGCTCGGGGAAGGTAGCACGGCGCTGGAAGGGCGGAGCGGGACCAGCGCCGTCAAATTCCTGGCTCGGAGCCTGCGCACGTTCCTTCTTTAACATGGTGTATGTCATGGCGGCGCCGGCGGCAGCTCCGACAGCCGCGCCCAGGAGACCTCCGAGGACGGTACTGGTCTGCAAACTGCTGCTCGGGGCGGCGGACTTGGCGGGCGAGGAAGCCAAATCATTGTTGGCTGACGGGGAGGTTTCGATAATGGAAGTGGTGACACTGCGGCGGAGTAGTGTGTACGGCTCGTTGCCAGAATATTGGCCGGCTTGGGAGGTCATGGCTCTAGAGGCGGAGGGTCTGGCAGGCGCGGCGGCGGCAGAGCGTGATGGCGAAGATTTTGCAACGTCGTAGTTCCAGTTGAGGATGCGACTGACTTCGTCGTGTGTTGATTGGGTTTTTCGAACGGTAGAGCCAGCATAGGAGGGAGGGTAGTTGGGAGGGGGTTGATATACAACTTCCATGGTGTTACCGTCCAAGTCGGTGACAACGGCGCGGTGGGTATCGCCACTTTGGGTTATGGCAGCGGGGCGGGAGATGGGCAGGAGAGCAGGGTTAGCACGCAGGGTATAGGAGTGGAAGTCGGTGACAACGGTGGGGGATGGAGCAGAGAAGACGACGCGGGACTTCTTCAGGGGCTCGAAAGAATTGCGGGCCTCGCGGATCTTGAAGACGGGGGTCGGCGGGGATGATGTTTGATCACGAAAACCGTAGGTGACTGCGGCGGGAAGCCTGACAAGCTCACACCTCGGACGGGTGGTGATGATCGTCTTGGAGTCGTTGTCGTCGTCGTCCGCGTTGGCAGCGGTCAAAGTGTCGGTGGATATATAGCGGAGGCCGAGGGGTTGGAGGACGGCCGAGTAGAAGGAGGCTGACGAGGGCAGGTGGGAGACATCGAAGTAGGGGGTCATCTGGGGCTGTCGGGGATGGGCACGGAAGCAGGCAACAATAATGAGATCTTATGGAGACGGAGACGGAGACGGAGACGGGGATAGGGATATGGACGGGGATGAAGTTGGGGTTGGTGGCTTGGCTTGGCCTGGCTACCTAGGTAGGGTAGAGTTTGGGTTGGAGGATGGCTGGCTGCTTGTTGCACTTTTGGTTATGATGGTGTACATGGACGCGAAACGTGAGATGGTGCCGAGAGGCAAGATGGGCTTTAACTATCTTGAGAGCGAGCATTCATTGCTTTGGGGCATCTCTTCCATTCCAGCATCTGAGGCGAATAGAAGAATGCCTTCCGATTGGGATGCCTATCTGGAACTGTTTGGAAGGGAAAACAAACAAATAGAAGGCACCAGTCATTTGCTCTGCGTACGTGCCTTACCTGGCAAGAGTCTAGAAACGGGTCAGTCCGTGATGGCGGTTCCGTGTCGATGCGGCCACCAAGTGCCCATGCACAAATGCTACCCGCCAATGGAGCCTGCTGGCTGTTCGGGTCTGGCCAGTCCTCTCCGCTGCATCGCGGTCTGACTGAGTTGGTGGTCTCTACATCCAGTCCAATCCAACCGACTCCAAGACGGCCACCTTTGCCGGGGATGCTGCCGGAGACCACCAGGAGCCGTCGAGGGCACCATCTCCTCGGCCACCTAGTCCGAGTGTGGTAGGTTCCTTACGTGGTAAGATACACATAGATGGATGTGCTGTAGGTTCGCCCCACCAGACAGCGAAAGAGCAACCGCAATGCCTCAGCCATTGTCAGAATTATCCTTCAACGGTACGAGAGACTGGCGGAAAGCACCCGGAGGAAAGCGTCTTAAGCCCAACCCAATGGAAGCCGCCTATACCTTACGGAAATCGTGTCATGCCGTGTCTGGCCACCACTTGGTCGCCAGGCCCCGCTGCCCCATTGCCATCCCACCCGCACCACACTTCGTTCGCGTTGGAAACGTGCACTTTTCCCATCCTGCTTCAACGCCCAATCATCGGCGTGACAGTCCCTCAGTTCCAGCTGCAATTCACCGCAACCTCTACCGCTCTGGATCACTGCGCAGAGTCTGAGTCCCAGCCCGCCTGCCGAATGGAACCTGATGCAAACCACCGGCTCCGAGTCCCTGTCGCCTCTCGCCTCAGATGACAGGTCTCTCACATCCCGCCTCACTCTTTAGCTCATTGGTTGGCCGTAACCCCTGCTCTTATTTCGCTGCCCAACCTAGCCTCCCGTCTTTCAAGTCTTATGGAAATGCTCGGGGATTTCTTACCGCCCATGGCATGCCACTAGGAATCCCTAGATAGCCGACTTCTATTAAGTAGGTATCCTCCTCCCGGGTATTCCGCCGTTCTTCCGCTCTCAAATGTGCCCCTGACAGCATTGTGACATTCTACTACTATTCAACATGAGGCGACAGTAAACATCTATAGACCAATCGCGGCCACCTTATTTAAATAAGGCCACACGCGCGCTGATGTGCCATTTCTCCGGCGCACCACCGCACGTGATCACCAAGATGCTTTATTGAGGTAGTCGTAGACGTTGGTGAGATTCTGTGTTCAGTTGGATAGGCCTCTCAGCAGTACTAGAGCCTGCATGCCCATACGTACAGCAACTGAGGCGATCCTTATTTGGTATTTCATAATCCATTAACAAGCCCGAAAACCCTCTAGCTATCAATTCAGCGACGAGGAGTCACCCTCTGCCTGCCTCGGCGCTTGCCATTGGCTTTTGAAATTTGCCCTCTCCCCCACCTTATGACTATGGCCAAGAAAACAAAAGGTATTACCACAGCTGAAGAGGTCCTGCAACCAACCGCGGGTCAATGAACGTGACGGCAGGAGTTCCTGTGTCGACTTGACGTGACACAAATGGAAGAAGAGAGCATGTTGAACGTCGATGGATGCCCCGATTTTGGTTGTGAAACAGCGGAAGCGCAAGCACAGGCGAACCGAGATCCGGAGGCTACGGCTGCCGACCACAATATTATATCGTGCTCTTCCTGCTGCGCCCGTGGCTTTCGAAGTACGAGTTGATGGCGCTGGGTCCTGCAGATCGGGGAACCAAAGAACGTACCAGCATGGGCCAACGTCGCATTCAGCCCAGGTCTAGCAGCAGCTTGCGTTCCGCTATACACACTCACCAGCCGCAAATCATTGACGTGGGGCACTCGCAATCACTGAATGTCCCAGCAGTCCTCGGCGGCGTGACAGAACTTGCTGCAGGCAACACTAGCTGACAAGCTGTAGTTGCTGATAGATATCTTCTCGTCCACGAGACCATCGGCAAAAGTATCAGCACCTTTCGCCATGGCACCCACAAAGACGCAAACACTCTCCTTCGGACCCAAGGTATCGATGTAGTCCCTGCACTTCACCAAGGGGGCCTCGAAGCTGAGTGTAACCTTGCGGCAGTTGGGAGGCAGGTGGTCGGTGATGGGATTCTGGATGACACGCAAGAGCTTCTCCTGCGAGTTGGTGGAGCGAATAGACAGACGGTGCAGCAGTTGGACCATCAAACCAGCAAAGCGTTTGAAAGTTCGCGGAATGCGAACCGAGGGCGACACCTCAATCAAGACACCTTTGGCGGTGTGGATGTAAATCTGAAGTTTGCCAGCCTTGTTGATAGGCGAGTCGAGCAGGGTGAGAAGACACTGGTCAGTATGGTCAGCATGTTGAATGCAGACATGAGTAGAGCGCGTTGGGGCGCGTAAAATGCAAAGCAGTGTACTGGTAGTGTCCAACCTGGTGAGTAATGTCAGGGCGCGCGTCACTGATATCGCGGTTCATCTTGCGCATGACTCCAATGTGCTCGTCACTGTTCAGCAGCGAGTACTTCTCCTCCCTTTGGACGCCATTCCGACCAGTTCCGCCGTGGGATGCTTTGTACGTCTCGAGGCTGGCATTAGACAGGACAACGATTAAACGCTGGGAGTCCTTGTCCGCAGGGGGGATCGGGACATTCTGTTCGGCGACAAGCTGTGGGAGCGCCGGAGGGGGAAGCGACTGAGTGCCTGTAAGAATTGATACATTAGCCGACATGCGATGACAATGAAGCGAACAAGCTGCGGTCTTGCCCTGAGAGGATGAGTCTGCCATCACCGCTAAAGCAGTGCGCGATTTCCACGGAAGGCTTTGCCTCTGGTTTCTACTGATGGTCGCAAACACTTCAGAGGGTAGCAACGTTTGATCAGGCCCACGGAACAAATGCGCAAGATGTTGCACGAGATTGCCTGGAGGGCAGGCGGGCAATACGAAGAAGAGAAGAGACGGGCAAACACCAGGTACGGTTGTTTATGAAGAAAAGGATTCGGAACTTACGAGGTCGCTTTACTCCAGCACGGGCCTCGGGTGAAGACATTTTTTTTTTTTCCGAAGGGAGGGGATGGAGACAGGGAGCAGGAGCAAAGGAGGTTTCAAATCGACAGATAAACAGAACTGCGCTAGGACACACACAGTAAGGCTACCGTGACTTTGGGTGAGTAGGGACGGAGTGTCGCAGAGTGTGCGTTGTAACACAGAAAGAAGAGGGCGGAAGGTAGAATCAATCACGGAGCGTGTGGGACGGGTGCGAGGAATGCAGGTTTAATATGCGTGACAGTTGGGGCACCTAGGGCGAAAGTTTGCGACGTCGTTCCATGGCGCGCCGACCGGCGTTACTATGCATTGCCTAGGTACCTTACCTTGGTCAAGGAGGCACGAGGGCACCCGAGGGCGGGGCACAACACAGGAGTCTGCCCGCCCGGCAGAAAGAAAAGCTACCTCCATTCTTAGGTAGGGCGCAGTAGGTACCTTACGTAAGGTATAGTTGGATAAGCGACACCAGGTGGGTCAGCCAATACCTACCTTAGGCAACCTTGAAGGTATGCGAAAGCATCGAGGCACCTCCAGCACACATTAGCACCTCAGATTGGCACCTGAGGCAACTAGGTTCCTCCAGGGAACAGATCCATTGATTTCAAAACTCTCCAGGGCTAGGTACCAGTTATGACAACTACGTGCCTCGGTAGCGTTGGTAGTCCCTCATGCCGTCTCTCATGCCGTCTCTCATGCCATATCTATCCCCTGTATCGTTGCCGTATCTGCTCTTGTTGTCTCGTTGTTCTCTCCAAACACGATCTCGAGTCTGCCTCGAACAATAAATAGAGAATGCAGCAGTCATTGTGTAGGGACACGCAAGATGAATGTTATTGCTATTCTCCCGCTGTTGCCAGTACCGTGAGAGCTTCACACTGTCATTGGTGAGCTCTTATCTGTGGAGACAGTAGAAAAAAAACCTTCACGTAAGAAGTACGCGTGTTCTCGACAAATCGGCCTGCTTTTCAATCCACGATACTCCCTGTCTCTCACATGATTGATCATTGACCCGATGTTTAAGAACATGGACCCAGATCCACAAGCCTTTACTCAGGACGACGAACCAGTAGCTCCCTAAAAACTGCAAGTCCTCACTATTTGTCTTGTGGACTTGACTATCTGTCTTGTGGACTTGCGTTGTCTTGACTGAACCTGGCGAGCTCTTTCCTCGGCGAGAGAGCGCTATCGAAATTGATGGGATCGGTTGCCTGGGCGTATCACTGAACGGGACAGTATGACGGCTGCGCATAAGGCAGTTATCACCGTCTCCAGAAAATTCAGAGCCCCCACCTCTGTAGTCGGGCACGTTAAGAAACGCCTGTCTCTAAAAACTAAATAACAAGCACCCTTTTGCATTTGGCGGCCAAAACGCTGGGAGAGCCAAGGCTGTGCAATCTAAGGTTATCTTAGCGTCGCTCCCCCCGCAGTGTCGGGTCCTGCTTGACTTGGAACACATACGTGGGGCAGGCCCCGGGTTGATAGATGCCCAGATAGGTTAGAGCACAGCCGGCGTAATAGCTGTTCCGCGCAGCCAATCAATACTTACCGTAGGTCAAATTCAGCAATTCTAATGGATGAACGAGGCACCATAATCAGCCCCGGCAGATAACAACCTTCAATTTCTCCAACGTCCCCAGTCACAGCAGAACCGAAAATACGCAGACGCGACATACATAAGTCCTGCCTTGATATAGGCTCATTTGAAAGTTCACTATGTCGAAATCGGCCATCTCAACCGCGGGCCAAGTCCTTCGCGAGCTTCATGGCGTTGTGGTGACCGCCGGCCGGATGTCGAAGACGGTCAAGGTACGCGTGGGCGGCCAGCAATGGAATCAAAAGGTCCAAAAGGTAAATGCCTATATGCTTCTCGCCGAAACCCATGGGCCATGGCTGATCACCACTTGTCGCCAGATGTTTACGAAACCGAAGAAATACCTCGTCCATGATCCCAACAACTCCTTGAGGCAAGGCGACATCGTTTCGATCGTTCCCGGTTGGAGAAGATCCCCCCAAAAGCGCCACGTTGTCAAGAGTATCATCGCACCCCACGGCACTCCGATCGAAGACCGCCCGAGCATCCCGACGATAGAGGAGCTTCTCGCTGCCCGTACGCAAATGAAGGAGACAAAGGACGCAAGACGAGCGGAAAGGAGGCAGGATATCACAGAGAGGCCCACAGTTGCACCTCAGCCAGAAGTTGATTGAAGTTTGCTTGTTCGAAACGCTATACTTTGAATTCATACTAGAGAAACAACACAGTGTACAACATCCTGCAAAAAAAGGTTTTCTAGAAGGCGGATCTTACGAAACCTCGGCGATTGATCTGCCTGACCTATGTCGCGATCTAGCGCCCGGTTTGCAAACTGTGTGCGCGGCTTGCTTTGTGCCAAAACTCATGTAACATTCCTAACGTAGGCTGACAGGGGCCTCATATGGCTGGACAGAAAACAAGGCCCAGTTGTCAAATGACTCCCACCATTTACTCTGCGCCAGTAACCGACCGATCGCTACTTGGGGTATCATGTTTTCCCGCTATGTCTTGTCCGGGCCCTTTGCAAATCACATAGAGCGAATGCAGCCCTCGCCATCAGTTGCTAGCTCTTACCCGCCTCTTTCTCCAAACTCTCTCGCCCAATCTTCATATTCCTTCAATCCCGCCTTGCTCACGCTTGGCCGAATTGTGGTAAGACTTGCCTCAAAGTCCGCAAGCCCAATGGGTCGGATTTCATCCATCGTCATAGTCAGCAGTGCCTCGCCCAAGGATCGAAGGGGGCCCATTGCCGCGTCCTTGGCCAAAGCTGTGATGTCAGATCCGGAAAAGCCTATCACGCTCAACGTCAATGTTGGAATCCGTCAGGCAAGGCAAGCCAAGTAGCTTCATGGGGATGATACTGACCATCTGTTAGGACAATGAGTTTCTCAATGTCGTGGTCCGTAAGGCCATGCTTCTGCTGACCCAAAAGTGTCCGAAGTTGCGTGGAGCGAGTCTTCGGTTCGGGTAGTGGTATGTATTGACGTCTAACAAACCTGCGGCGGGCAGCCTCGTCAATGGCCCAGGGCAAATTGGTTGCCGCTAGAACGAGAACACGATTGGGATCGCCGCGATTGACGTCCTTTTCATCGACCGCTCTTCCAGCAGCAGCACGCTGCAGATCACTCCACTGAATCAGAAATTCGGTTTTGATTCGCCTCGTCGCTTCGTGTTCCCCTGACCCAGATCGTTGCGATAGTAGCGAGTCGATTTCATCGACAAAGATGATGCTTGGTGCCAATGCCTTTGCTAAACTGAACAGCGCTCGTACGAGCTTTTCCGATTCGCCAAGATACTTGCTTGTCAGACTGCTAGCAGATATGGAGAAGAATGCCGACTTGGACTCTGTTGCCACAGCTCGAGCCAGCATAGTTTTTCCTGTTCCGGGAGGACCGAAAAGCAGCATGCCTCTCGCGGGCTCCCGAAGCCCCATGAACAAGTCCGGACGCAAAAATGGATACACCACCGTCTCTCTCAGCGCGTTCTTGGCTATTTCGAGCCCAGCAACGTCGTTCCAGTGAACTTCGTCGCCCTGAACAACTATCTCATTGAGAATCTGTTTCGCGGCCGTCTCGTCGACCCCGGCGGGCAGATTTTTCAAGATCCGTTTCTTCTTCTCTTTCCAGACAGCCTTCGCAGCCGTCCTCTCGCTGTCACTTTCAACAGAATCTTCTGACGAACCTACGCTAGCGTCAGCTACTAGCGCGTCTTCCTTGTGCTTGCCCTTGCGCCTTTTCTCGGGGAGTTTCGGGGTTGCTGCAGTGTCATCGGAGCAACTGGCCGACGAGTTTCTCCGCGGCTGTTGGGTTTGGCGGCGGAATCGGGTCACTCTATCCTGTTCGGAGAAACTAGCGATTTGTCGAGCTGACCGGTTGATCGTATCAGCAACAGGTTTCCTCCGAATTTTGGTGACATCTGAAGAGCTTTTGCGCCGCAAAGCTAGATCGTCTGCATCCGGTGAAGTGGTTCGATTGTGTGGAGATATCCTGCTTCGTGGGACCGAAGAAGGTTGGTCTTTTGATCGCCACAACCTTTCTTGCTTTGGCGTGCTTTGTTCCACAGGGGATGTATCCTGGACAGACATGGCATTCAAAGCACTTGACGCGGCACTGACAGACAGCGCAGAAGGGCGGGCGTATGAAAGATCTTCTGAGTTTCGCACGCTGCTAAGCGTGTCCGTGGATGTCGAGGGCAATTCTCGAGGTGTGACAAGCCTACGGGTGTGGACATCCCACTGGGTAGCGGCGGGAGAAGGCTTGCGTGGTTGCTCTGGGGGCGTAGCTAACGGCAGCGTAGAAGACGAAGGCTCTGAGATCACTTGGGAAGTCCTTGAAAACCGGTCTCGGGAGTTGATAGCGCTCCAAGCCAAGGTGGCTGCTTTGCTCGCGCCAGGGCCTTCAGGCTTTGATAACTTCCGGCTCGATCTGGGCGTCTTTTCCCCGGATTTGCCCGATCTCAAAGTGGTCCGCATGGTATATTTCTCAGGACTTGGTGATCGCATTGCCTGCTCTTTTGTGGAAACCGTGCCGGGGGGTAACACGGGACCGATAAAGGGTGATGTATTGGAAGGACTCTGGCCGCGTCCAACTGCGGCATGGTCTGACGACGTTTTTGTGGCCATGGAAGGGCGTTTGGGCAGTGCGGGCCGCGAAAGCTCAGGGTACCTGATAGCCGGGACTGTCCCCTGGCCGATCCAGCCTCGTTCCGGTGTCGACACATGTGACGGCTCGGGAGAGGTTGATAGCGGCGGTGCAGCGTTGGAGTTTTGGGTTGTCATGGCGGCGTCTTGTCGGGATATCCGTAACGCTTCAAGCAGGTCAATGCGCTCTTTGCACTGGAGCTCTAGTTGACGCAAGGAATCTATCAAGGCTTCCTCCGTCTCGGATCTAGCCAAATAGTTGGGTAGCAGCTTGGTAACGTGTTGATCATAGATTTGTTCCAAGGCATTCTTCCAGCATCGCATCGCCTCGCTCTCGTCGCCCTGAAAGTAAGGACGGTTCGCATCAGCAGGAAGGAAAGAAAGAAAGGACATGATCGAGAAGGGCTATGGTTTCCCCGATCATCACACACCTGGCTTTCGTAGTAGACAGCAGTCGAGCACTTCAAATAGCTGTCATCGTACGTCTTTTGTAGGACAGCGAGAGCTCGGGAGCGTGACATAGTGGTAATGACGAGGGTTGCAACACCATAGTCGTCCCGGCCTGGCACTAAATCTGCGGATAAGGTCTCCTTCAGTGCTTTGCCTTGGTTTCGGGTCGCAAAGTGGTGTCTGTTGTCGTGGAATCAAGAAGTGACCGTTCCCAGGCCTTTGTTTTTCAAAGACGACTGACTAAGAGGGCGCGGTAGGTGGGTAGTTAGGTAGTTAGGTACGTAGGTAGGTTGGCCGGTTGAGTGACAGAGGGGGTAGTGACGTCGCTACACTAGCTCGGCTGAAGCCAGGGTAGGGGAGCGAAAGCGATACTGAACCAGCCCTACGGCACGTAGCCAGCAGACTGCGTCAGATCCTTCAGGTCGATGGAACTATCTTACCTCCCTACCTAGTCACTAGGTACCCGAGCCACTTACTGTGGTGACTTTAGGCACCTTCCTCACAGGGGTCATCTCTGCTGCAAACAGCAACTGCAAGTACACACGCTAGACGCTATAGGCTGCTAAGAGTTGACTAGGTATGCTTTATTCATCGGGGTTCGATGTATGCTTTTTAACATTACCTACCTTATCATGAAGCGAAAGTCCTCACGACAGCAGCACCCTAATCTCCCCCGTTGTTCTGGGAAACAGGGCGCGCAATGAAACATGTTCATCGAGCTTTTCATCAGCATCCTCATCTCTGCCGGCCATCTCGTCCACCAAAAGCAGCATCTGTTCAATATGCTCAAAGTCGTCGCAAAACCTCGCAGCTGCTTTTTCCGTGAGTCCCCTTGCGAGAACCGAGTCTTGCAGGTGCTTCACGTTCTCCACAGCATCCATCAGTGCCGACGGCAGGAAGTCGTCAAGAACCTGCCTGGCCCTGCTCATGGCTTCTGGCTGCAACACTTCGAGTGATGCCGCCTTCCCAACATCGCTGCTTTCTGTTGTAAACTTACTCAAGGCGTCAAGTATCTTTTCAAGCCCTGAACCGCGCCTGAAAAACTGGTACTGCCCTTCTGCGAGCTTCTCGCTCTCTCGCTCGATTCCCTCTTGCAACTGCTGCGACCTTCTCTGGGTGAAATCAAATGGCTCCAACGTCTGCTTGGCTGCAAGCAAGCAGTTAGTCAGGAATATCGCGTCTGCTGGAGAGCCAACACCCCGGGCCATGTTTTTACACCCAGACAAGAACGGCTCAAAGGCCTCCGAGAGAATTGGCTGGAAGTCACTCTCACGGTCCGAAGAAGTCGCTAGGGAGATCTCATATGTCTTCATAACAGCAGTCAGCTGTTTCAACGCGTCGAGCAAGAAGTCCGGCGGCCCAAGATCAGAAGGCGTTTGTTGAAAGTCACCCTGCAGCGTTGCAATATGGTCTCGCATAAGTGACCTGAACTGTCTGAGTGCCCCTGCTTCAAGACCAGACATGAGATCCAGCAGGCCACACTGGCTGCCCAGCAACTTCGTGAAGGTGAAGCGGTAGAAACCGAGAATGTTTGCGAGCTTGTAAGCCAAGATGGTCTCCTCGTTTGACTGAATGACCTGCTCAACCCTCTGGCGCAGAATCCGAGTCGCCCCGGACACGTCTCGGTCTACGAGATCATTTAGCGCTTTCAGAGCGTCGTAATCGCCAGCCGCATCCCCTTCTCCATCATCCAGAAGCTGCCACAACTCGTTCGCCCGACCTGACTGCAGCCCCTTGGCAATCTCGTCACCTTCTGATACGAACAGGATCTCGAGTGCTTCTCGCTCGCTCACTGTCGCTGAGTGTATCCAAGCAAGCATATCGCCAACATAACGCAGGGGATCGTGGGCGGCCATTTCGATGGGCTTGACAGAATGGTCTTCTACGCCCGAACCCGTCGTACCCGTCAGTGCTAAGTTGAAAGAGTCAGAGAGAATGCGCTCTCTAGCTTCGGCAAAGAAGTCTAGGCAATTCTGGAAAAGCGAAGGTCGTTCTGCCAGGACTCGAATAGCGCGGCGAATAGATGAGTTCATCTGAGGGTTTTCGAGATTGAGCGTTTTAAATTCACGCTGTACCCATTTGTACAGTTTTTGAAACGCGAGATTGAGATTCTTGGATGTCTGGTCCATGATCTCCAGACCAAGCGTTTGCTTCTCAAAGCCGAGCAAGATCTCACAGTCCTTGCTAATGCGTTTTGCCTTGGTGAGAGCGGTGAAGAAGCTGTCATCTACAGGTTCGGCAGTCGACGTTAGGGAGGCAACCTCATGGTCGGAAAGTATGAAGTGGCTACGCAAAGTCTTGAGTATGTATTGTTTTGAGTCAACCTCAGCCCGCTGATGAATCAAGGAAGAGGCTTCTGTTAAGATAGGGTCTGTGTTCTGGTGCGCGGCAGTGATGCGACTTCTCACATGCTGATAGTTGTTGTTGAGCTTGTCCAGGGTAGCTCCTATGCGGCGAAGTTGCTAGAAAGATTGGTCAGAGGAACGGACTAGGGAAGTCTAACGGGTCAAGAAAACTTACGTCTGCCACGCGACCAAATTGAAATACGATTTCACCGTTACTGTCAATAACCTCTTTCTGCAGCTCCAGGCGTAACTGCCGACGTGTTTCGGGAGTGTTCTTCAGGCCCCTGCCGTCGAGAAGCTGTAGAGCGTCCCGAAATTCTGTGTCGGCGTATGAGGTTGACAGAACCGTCGTGACTTTGGAAGTGAGGGGGTTATGGCTTCTGAGCGATGTGGGCGTTGGGGGAGGAGGTTGAGACGAAGTGGCCGAACTGGACGAATTGGACACATCTCGCACAGGTAGCGGTCTCAAGGACACTGGAGCTTTTGCCGACGCCATGTTCCGTGGAGAAAGTTGTAGGACCGCCTCATCAATCTGCCATTGACCAGGAGAGGAGGAAAAGGCTCCAAGCCAAGTTGCCGTTCGTACGATGTGCTACGTCGCCGACTTGCCAAGGGTAGAGGCCGTAGGTTGACGCGTCTTCTGGCACTGTCGTTTATTCCGACTGCCAAGGGTATCAAGCTCAGGTAGGTAAGCAACGAACAAGGGAGGTTGAGTACCTAGGGAGACGAACGGATGTTACAGATGGCTTGGGCGCACACAGCTGTGAGAGCGAGTATACCCACCTAGGTAAGTAGGTAAGCACTGTGTGGAGACCTAAGACACCTAGATACCTCGGTATCAGGATTGGCAAAGGTACTGCAATGACTTTCCTTCACCCCGCCCACGCCTAAGGTAACTTACGGATGAAACAGTTATGAAAGGAAGGCGGCCTGGAATAAGTACGGCAATACCAGTGCTCACCGCCCTGCCGACCCACCCCCAAAACGCCCAAAACGCCCACGTCATAAAGTCATGGACTGTACTCTGTAGCTGTAGTCTCCTATCTTATCCGATAAGGTAAACGGTAAGGTAGGTAGGTAGGTATTAGGTACCAGGTAGGCACGCACCTGATCCCAGACACCTTTCGAACATCAGTTGGTCACGCCTCGCGCATCCGAATCTTGCAGTCAACTACTTAGCTTGCTGTTACATTCGTCTCGTGATGCCTCTATCGAACTTGGAGGTACCATCTGCACATGTCACCTCAGTATTAGCCACAAACACAAACACAAACCCCAAAAGAGGCGACTTCGGACAAGTTAAAGATCTATCCCAGAAGGTATTCATTCCCATCTTCCGCGAGCACCTCGGTCACCTGCGCGCGTCGTACCTGAACACATGACTATTATTAAACGACAGACATATGTCCTTTAGCCAGCTTATCTTAAACTGCCACTTCGTCTTTGTAGCTAACTCATTTCTAACAGCACTAGAAGACCGATCCTCCTATTCTCAAAAGTCGATCCCAACTCTGTTTTCAAGCCATCTTCTCCAAAACATGCATCAGTCGACATGCGTAACGAGTGCATACCGTCAGTAACACTTCGAAATTCTTGTTGCACCACACAGTCAGCATGGCTTCCAACATCTTCTCCCGGCTGGGTCCTCCCGCAAGAGGATCCAGATCATTTTACGAGGAGTTGAGAGGCAGACGTGATGAGGATCTTGACATCGAAGACCAGGCCGGACTTGATGTCGACGAGGAGAATTTAAAGGAACAATTCCAGGACTATGACCTTGATCACGCACGGGATCTTGCCGTCGACGACAGCCGCACAACTCTCGACAGCAACGCCAACCTCGTCAGAAGCCCCCAACAAACCGTCACGCGAGGCTCACAGCGAACCGGAGCTCGACGCGACACAGGACCGGCATGGCTGGGTCATGAAGAAGATGGAGACAACGATGTTCCCGCTTCTCTTCTCGTCGAACCGCACGAGGTGGAGGCGGGCGCAAAAGAATTGAACCGCAGAAAACAGCCCGTAGCCTCAACGCAGCAGCAAGCCATACCTGGTCCGTCCGATCGACGAACTCATGGTCAGTGGGAGGCGGCTCAAGCCCAACAGAGGCTGCATCCGGCAGATGGCGTTAAACCCTTCAAATCGCAACCCAAGCGCATCGCGCGAGGTTTCTCGCCGGGCAATGAGAAGGAAAAGGCCCTCTGGCGATGGGTCAACGTTTCGAACCTTGACTTCTTCATACAAGACGTGTATTCCTACTACCGAGGCAGCGGCTTCTGGTGCATCGTGTGTGCTCGAGCATTGCACCTTTTGTGAGTGTTCAATCTATTATGCAAACCAAATCGTAGTGGGATCGAATACTAACAGACCTGTAGGGAGTCTGCTTTCTTCGCGGTGTTCCTTACCTTCATGTCACAATGTGTTGACTATTCACTTCTCTCCGACCGAAGTAGAAAGTCGCTAAGCGAAATCGTGATTCCGCAATGCACTAGGAAAATGTCATTCCTTTGGAATTTTGGTCTTTGGCTGTATGTCTTCTACTTCATTTGGAAAGCCGTCCAATTTTCAGTCGATCTCCGGAGACTGCGCAATATGCGCAACTTTTACACATATCTGCTCGAGATACCCGAGGAAGATATGCAGACGGTTTCTTGGCAAGACATCGTCTCGCGCGTTATGTCATTGAGAGATGCGAATCCCAAGACTGCAATAAATATCACCCCGTCACAGCGGCGCTGGATACGGAACCAATCCAAAGAGCGGCTTGACGCCCACGACATTGCGAATCGACTAATGCGGAGAGAAAACTACTTGATAGCCATGATGAACAAGGACGTGCTTGACCTGACGCTTCCCGTTCCGTTCATGGGAAAGCATCAGTTCTTCTCGAGAAGTCTAGAATGGAACCTACATTTCAGCATTTTGGGTTTTATCTTCGACGAGAGTAATCAGGTGAACCAGGAGTTTCTCAAAGCAGATCGCCGAGGGCAGCTAAGCGCAATGTTGAAGACTAGACTTATGTTCGCCGGCTTCATCAATCTGCTGATAGGACCATTCGTGGTTGCGTATCTCATTATCGTACATGCTTTGACGTACTACAACGTAAGCTATGTAATCCCGATCTGAGAAAGTTGCTAATCAAAACCCCTCCAGGAATACCAAAAGGACCCAGGGACTTTTAGTCACAGGAGATACACACCGCTTGCCGAATGGAAGTTCAGGGAATTCAATGAACTTCCACACTTGTTTCAGGAACGGCTCAATATGTCGTATCCGGCCGCTCATGCGTATATTGACCAGTTCCCGAAGAGATTGACAGAGCAGTTTGCTAGATCGGTAACCTTTATTGCTGGTGCGATCACATCCGTTCTAGCCATTGCATCATTCTTAGAGCCCGAACACTTTTTGGGCTTTGAACTACTGTTCGGGAAGTCGGCACTCTTCTACATTGGAGTATTCGCTGCAGCCTGGGCGGCCGCGAGAGGCATGATCTCCGAGGAAACCACCGTTTTCAACCCTGAGTACGCCTTGCGTAACGTCATCAGCTTCATACACTACATGCCAGCTCACTGGGAAGCTCGACTCCATACCGCGGAAGTCAAGAGAGAGTTTTCAGAGCTTTACAAGCTCAAGGTATTGATATTGGTCGAGGAGATTGTCGGTATACTCACGGCGTCTCTGGTTCTCATCTTCTCGGCGCCCAAGTGTAGCGACCAAATCATCGACTTCTTCCGAGAGTTCACGATACATGTGGACGGCGTCGGCTACGTCTGCTCGTTTGCCGTTTTCGACTTCAAGAAGGGCGCGGAAAGGGCCAAGTTTCAGGCGGCAACCAGAGATGTACGTGACGACTACTACTCAACCAAGCATGGAAAAATGGCGGCGTCCTACTACGGATTTCTAGATAATTATGTGATCAATCCGAAGACGGGCATTCCTGGTCACATCCCCCCTGGAAGTCGACATCCATTCCACCCGCCGCCGGTCTTCCCTGGACTTCAATCGCCCACTTTAGCGGCCGAAATGCAGAGCTCTAGAGTGGGACGTTACGATCTCACAAGAAGCAGAGCACCCGGAGGTGGTATGGGGCAACAAAACCGGACACCACGATTTGGGTCTTCATTGACAGCCCCGTCGCCGATGGCATCGATGCTTCTTGACCCACACCACCAGCCGGCTTCGGCGGGGTTCGGCGCCCGAAGCACTCATCGGAGCCGAGGGAGTCGGGGTGGATATCAGGGCGGAGAAATCATCGAGGAGACGACGGAAGATAGCCTTGGGATGGGCGAGGAATTGGATTCGCAAGTACAGTTCGAGGACGAAGGTTTTGAAGGAGCTGGGCCCCTAGGGGAATCGGTTTGGGAAACATCGCCTCCGAAAGGGTTGAGTCGGGAGAATAGCACGACTACGGAGACTGGGGGGCAAGACGCTGGGGTCTTGGGATTGATTTATCAATTTCAACAGGCACACCGCACAGATCGCCAAAGTGGAGCACTTTAAGGTGCAGTGAGGATAGACTACTGCCCGAAGAAAGGATATCAGGTTGGTGGCTTTCTGGTGTACAAGATTGTGTGAGGTGCATGGATTGCATGGTCACGATGTCTTAAGGAGTGCCGGGAAAGAATGCTGCTGCAACAGGACCCTGTGGACATTCAGGTAGAAAATACTGGACGTAAATTGATATTCTTATGAAGCCTAAAGGTATTGGCGGAATCAGTATGGCCGGGGAGTGTTCTGTGAGAGGCGAGATTTCAGAGCTTGGAGATCTGATCAGTGTGACCGTATTTGAGTTGCCAAAGGATGGCGTCGGAACTCGGCGGACAAGGACGGCGGAGGTGTTCTTTGGAGACGACATCGGGCTGGCGAGGGGACGTCGTAACTCCGAAGAACCCGACGTCGAAATCGGCGTGGGCGGCGATCGCTAAGACACGGCGAGATGAATGACAAGAGAGGCCACGCACAGGCAGAACGATGCGGTGGTCACGCGTTGGATTTACCAGCAAACATAAGTATTTAGCGGGCCAGGGTTTTTTGGGAAGCTCTTGAACGCCCTGTAGCGGTCAGCTCTAAGACTATTGTCGTACCTTTCGCTAAGTTGCCAAAGTGTTGGTATTACCAGCTGGCCTATCAGTTGACAGAAACCAGCGCCAGTAGCATGCCGAAGCAACAGGCGATGGCAGATGGATGGAATAAAATAACGAAAGACGAGGTACTGAATCCGACGTCGAGTATGCATATTAAAGTCCAGCCATCCGGTCTACTCAGTACTACACTTACTGGCAGCACTAGATTTAAAAAAGGGGAAAACTGTGTGATATGGGAACCGTGAGGGCCTAGGAAAGTTTCTGAGAGTTTTACTACGGTATCCGTGTAGAGGGTACGTACCAATGGAGGGGCCCCGGACGGCTTCTAGATGCCGGGGTCATCTTTTCTACCTATCTACCTTTATCAGATGGTTTAGATAAAAAAAATTAAAAAAAAAACGAGATGGATGGTAGACACCTCGGGCGTTAAGTTGAACAGGGCACCTCGCACAATCGATGACGGGTCGTCTGTTGCTCCGAGGCTGTCGTGGTGCCACTAAGGTGCTCTGCCTAGCCACTCGCTGCGGAGCGCTTAGTGGGGGAGGGGAGCTGGACCGCTGAAAGGCACTGGGGAGGGGCCTCACCCACTTGCTAATACCATTTGAGCTTTCCATGCAATGGAGGCCCATCCCATTCATTCCAGCTTGGACGTGCCGCAGCTGAGGTCCCTGAAGTACTCCGTCAAACTCACTCAACTCAGGTTACAACTTTCACCCGAGCTGAAAGGCACTGGCGTCCCCAATTGAGTTTCAATACACACGACGCGAAGTGCGTACACATAGCATTTAAAGTAGCCATGACGGACTCAAACCATACAGTTGGTGCTTTATGATGCTGTTTACGAAGCGTACTGCGCTTTCGAAGGGGAAAGTCCACCTTAGGGAACAAGCCGGGGTTCTCGAGCTAGGTTAGGTACCTGTGTAAGGATAAATGAGGTGAAGAAAGCCGGCCTTTGTCTCCGAGGCCGCAGACAACCCCGACGTTCGCTCGACACCGTCGACACCGGACGAAGTGGGATACAAAATTTTCGGTCCTTCGGACCATGTGGCCAAACCTTCGTCCGGCAGTATATCCTTCAGGACTCGCGCCCATTACTAAATGTACATATCAATACAGCGTACAGTGATACCCTGGGGAGGCAGAGGTGATGGAGGGTATAAGCGTAAGAGGGAGAAAGCATCAGGCCTAACCAGGTGACCCGAGGTAGGTGTATTGCACCTAAGTTTGTTTCCACCTACTGGGATCAAAAGTCCGAAGCTAAGGTATCTTAACACATCAAAGTACTAAGCGAGATATATTTGCCTGTCTTCACCTACAGGTACATGGTCTCTGCTAGTATCCTTTCTTTTTTTTTTTCCGCCCTTCTCCCCAAACCACTCTGCCCTCTTGCCCCGTCTCCAATCCTGTCAACCTTGACTCGCTTGCAACCTCGACTTTGTCTTCTTGCGTCCTCGCTGACCGTGCATCGCAATTTGCAACTACTGCGCCGCTCGCCGATGAGCTATCTTCAGTAATCACTTCGAGTTTACATGCGATTTCTCCCGCGCCGAACCCCATTCGCTCCCCTCCGGCCGACCCGGCATCTGTCTTGTCGCACCTACGCGCAAACCCTTCAGTCCTCCAGGCCAAAAAAAGGACACCGAGACAATCGACAACACGATCCTTGAGTACGGCTCAACGAGAGCTCAATCCGCCGCAATCGCTGGCGCTCACGGCAATTCTGTCGCCTCCCCCCCAAGCTGTCAATCTGGCGGCTCTTCAGCCTAAGCCTTTCGGCGAAGCATCTGACGCTGCGGCCGCAATGGCCCAGCCCAATGCAGAGCCCGTCGAGGAATATGAGTGCGCACTCCTCTCGCCCATCTACCCACATCCGCCCGGCCCGTTCCCAATGCACCTTTGTGGTAGCAATTATGATTGCTGACTGGGAATATTCCATAGCTACGAATCGCTCCCTCCCAACTTCTCCCTGGTCCAAAATATGGCGGCCGGGGCGTTCGCGGGCATAGCTGTACGTTTTGTCCCATCTTATGGAGCTTGGCTTTGGCCGGATGGATTGCTTAAAGGTTCGAAGCTGATTCTCAATACTTGCAGGAGCATACCGTCATGTATCCCATCGATGCCATTAAGGTACGGTTGGCAGCGCTTTCCTTTGCGTACGTATCCTCGCCGTCTGCTAATACGGAGTTTCCAGACCCGAATGCAAGTCCTCAACCCTAACCCCTCAGCTGTCTACAACGGCGTGATCCAAGGTACATACCGCATAGCCAGCCGAGAGGGAGTCCTCAGCTTGTGGAGAGGCATGTCCAGTGTTGTCGCTGGAGCTGGTGAGTGCCCTGCCCCAGCTGGCCTCAAACCTTGAAGTTCCCGTACTAATTGCATCAGGCCCTGCCCATGCTGTTTACTTTGCTACGTACGAGGCCGTCAAGCATGTTATGGGAGGCAACCAGGCGGGTGTTCACCATCCCCTCGCTGCTGGTGAGTTGTTTTGCGCAGGCCGAGCGAACTATATGGCTAACACAGCGTGATAGCTACTAGTGGAGCTTGTGCTACCATCGCAAGCGATGCGCTTATGAACCCCTTCGATGGTAAGTAGCTTGCGAAGCACTTGCCCTTAGGAACGCGGACAACTTACTCGCGCCTCCAGTCATCAAACAGCGAATGCAAATCCAGGACTCTGCCAAAATGTACCGCTCCATGACGGACTGTGCTAAGTACGTCTACAAGACCGAGGGACTGGCAGCTTTCTACGTTTCCTACCCTACCACCCTCTCGATGACGGTTCCCTTCACTGCTCTGCAGTTCCTCGCCTATGAGTCTATTTCAACGGCGATGAACCCGAGCAAGAAGTACGACCCGACAACGCATTGTCTGGCTGGCGCTGTCGCTGGAGGCTTTGCCGCCGCCTTAACCACGCCCATGGATGTGATCAAGACTATGTTGCAGACACGAGGAACTGCGACCGACCCGGCGCTGAGAAACGTCAACGGCTTCATGGCCGGGTGCCGGTTACTTTACGAGCGAGAGGGCTTTCGGGGATTCTTCAAGGGTGTGCGCCCCCGTGTAGTGACGACCATGCCCAGCACGGCTATTTGCTGGTCTGCTTATGAGGCTTCCAAGTAGGTTCACCCTCTTTGATTGGACAGACGTATGGAAGTGATGGCGGGAACTAACGATCTTCTCTCATAGGGCTTACTTCATCGCAAGGAACGATCTTTCACCTTGAAGCGGTTTGCTGCTTTGCACATAGAGAGGGGTTGTTGGCGAATTTTGTGACCGTTTAGAGCGGTAGTGTAAAATCTTAGACGGCGGAGCAAGGAAGGGTCGATTCCCACACCCGAGCAATAATTGGCCTGGTGCCGGGAATTACAGCAACGGGACGCTGGAGGAGCACAGTGTACCGCTCCTAGCGAGAGCTTCTATCCCAAAGAAGGAAATCAACACCTCCTTATGTTGTAACATGGACGCTGATAGTCGGTCAACTCGTAAGCGGGCTGTATATGTTGCTGGAGAGCCGTTTTGGCAAAGTGCTATATTTTCAAAAGATATTCAACATGCTGGCGTCGGAAAATGATACTCGTCGGGAGGTGGTATGCTCGGGGATGGATTTGCAGACGTTAATCTGGAATATCATCTCTTACTCCTCCAAATTGGCTTTGCCCACTGATCGAGACTGTCACAACTGGCCTTCGCAATCCAGTTGACTCTGCGACGGGCACTTGCTGGGCTTGTTCGAGCAACCTTTGGCCGCAATACATCTCACTCATTGTGCTCCGTCGTTGATCTGTCGACCCGCCCTTCGCCAGGGGGAAGGGGTTGTAGATGTGATCAACCTCACCTATCACTCGACGCCAACTATCTGGCCTGCTTTGGACCTGGCTTTGGTAAGCGGAGCCGCATGAAGACTGCTATATGGCATATGGACGGAATGGATGTCGAAGCACTGTCAATGACCCCGTTATGTATTGCGACTTGATACGAGCCAAGCCCCGCTCGCAGGAACCGTGAGGATACGTCACTCGTAGACAGACTTATGGACAAGCAGCGAGCTAACTGCGGACATTGGAGTATCACGCGAGCCGATTTTGCGAAGAAACTCATGTTCTACATTCCGCTGGCACAATAATCTTGGGGATGAAAGTAAGTGACCAAGACTGGTCGAGTTACTTTACCAACTTCTTGCTGGCAATACCAAGAAGTGACGTGTGTTATATGCCACTGATGAACTAGGCCCATGAACTCCAGGCTGAAGCTATTACCGGTAACTCCTTCATACTGCCGAGCTCCCTCTAGAATGGGAACCCGCCACCACCGCCACCAAACTTGAAATGGAATTGCTGACTTCCACCTCCCCCACCCTGCTGGAACATGAATGGATGGCCTCCGCCAAAGGGATTTCCTTGGAAAGGGCTGCCTTGCTGTTGATTATTGGGATCGTCGCCGCGATCGAAGCGCTCGCGAAGCTCCGGGTTGCTTAGAATCTCGTACGCCTCGTTGATGACCGCCATCTTCTTCTCGGCTTCCTCTTTGGTGAGACCCTGCTTGGCAGCCTTATCCGGGTGGTACAGCTTTGACAGCTTGCGATAAGCCTGCTTGATTTGACGCTCATCAGCATCATGGGATACACCTAGAACCTTGTAATAATCCTTGGTCTGACTGCGTTTCAGCGCGATCTGGGCCTTCTGCATTAGAGGCTGGGTGACGTCGTTCTTGTCAGGTCTAGCATTGCTGGCCTCCTCCAAAGACCTAATGGCAGCCTCGAATTCCTCCTTGTCCATCAATACTTTGGCCTTGTATAGGAGGCCGTAAAACGATCGAGGGTCGAGCGCGAGCGCATCATCGCAGTGCTGTTTAGCTTTCTTGCCATTCATCTGCAATGACTGTTAACTCTGTCCAGAGAAAGCGCTATGCCTTCGACTACTTACGTCGTAATAGCCCTGGCATGCCATTTCCACCACGCGGATGTACAGAGCTGAGGTGGCAGTGGCGGGAATGGTGCCATCTGCACGAAGCTCTTCAACATGGGTCTTGATGTCGGTGATCAGACCTGTCTCATCGGCCGAGTCGATCAACAACTTGACTCCGGTCATAGGTTGATTCTTGTCGAATGCCTTCGTTACCCTGGCCAAAGTCTTGTCGATGGCCTTTTGCTGCTTCAGGAGCTTTTTGCATGGCTTGGAGTCTGGGTCGGAGTGTAGACACTTCCTGATCTGGGTCAAGCCGTTCTGGAGGTCGCCTAGTCCGTAGAAGGTGATGGCGGAGATCTTAATATGTGGTGAAGTGTCTCCAGGCCGCATCTGCAGGACGTGGTGCAGATCACTCATGCCCTCTTCAACCTCACCGCGCTGGAAACGACAGCGAGATCTCATCTCGCGGAGCGAGATAGCCCGGTTCGCGGTAAGGATGGCCTCGCCTGCATGAGTGACGCATGCCTCCCAATCACCATTTTTCTCTGCTATCTCGGCGAGGTGAGCTGCGCCCTTGGCCTCGTCGAGGGCGACGAGCTCGGGTGAGGTGGCGCCCTTGTTTGCCAGAGTGTACTGTTCCCTTGCGCCTTCCCAGTCGGCAACCTTAGACTTGATCTTGGCCAATTGAACGTGAGCGCCCTCAAAGCCGGGCTTTATTGCCAAGACCTTGTTGAAATCGTCGGTCGCCTGGTTGGTTCGTCCGAGGGAGAGGTAGGTCGTGGCACGCTTGAAGAGGGTCAGATAGTTGGAGGGATCCCGAGCGATAGCGGCATCATAGTAAACGAGGGCGTCGCTCGTCTGTCCCTTGGAGAGATGGGCTTGGGCGGAGGATAGCAAAGACGAAACTGGGGTATCTGAAGGGATTTCGTCGGCTGAAATTGCGAGAGCTGGCGAAGAGAGTAGTGTCGTGGCTGCGAAAGCCAGAGCGCATAGGCGAACGTGCATGTGCATGGCTGTCGCTGACGCCGGGCGGCCGGGACGAGCACCCAAAGGCAGCCGCGAATCCTCGAGGAGACAGGTAGAGAAAAGAGATGTTGCGGAAAGGAGAGACGCGTGGAAATGGTCGAGAGAAGACAATAAGCTAGAAAAAGGAATGGAGGGGGGAACGACGAGTGATGGGGTCGAAGTGGTCGAATTAGAAAAGTTGTCCTCAAAGACCGCCACGATCTGATGGACGGTACAAATGATAATGCTGGAGATGGGCTGTGGGGCAGGTAGTCCTTAACGCTTCTCACCTGGCTGTCGCACAGCCTCCCCCTGCATCTTCAGGAAACTATACGTACACGTACTGCATACGTGGGTAATTTGGTACGGCGCAAGTATTCCGATTATGCCCATTTAACCTAATGTTACCTTACTTCTTCCGTCAATAGCAGTGCGGCTTGCCGGCTGCGACCACTGAAGTGTCCAGAACAGATCTGCCCCACTTTGACGCGTTCTATACGTACACACGGGTAGGTAGCTACTGTAGCTACCTCTAATTAGGCTACGTACCTGGGAAGCCTCCAGAATCCATGTCAGGTAGCGGCTACCTTAACGCTGATCGGCACGCAAGCCACTTTTTGAACAAATCACGGCACCTGGTATTGTCACCGGCTTTGCCAGACCCAGAGAAACTCTGTACCTTCCCGGTCTGGCCTTCCTTTGCAGGATAGAAATCAACAATAACAAAAATCACGGCCTTTCGCCGCTGTCTCCAACCATCAGCCTACTACCTCCGTCAGCATGTCTCACCTCCCACCGTCGACCGCCATCTTTTCTCCCTCAATAGCACGCATCGCTGCCTCTACTGCCAAGGACTGGAACTATGTTGACTGTTGGCTTACCGCCAAATTCCACGGCCGAGCAGTCCCGCCTTTCGAGCGGAATCCAGAAACCCTCAAAGCCCTCCTCGCCCTAGCTTCGCTGAATGAGACTGCGGATGAGGAACGTGAACTCGTCTCTAGGGCCGAGGCTGCCGCTCTGCATCAAATCAGCGAAGCTTGCCATGAACCCGAGACGCGCCTCTCTGAATTGCCCCTAACGGCCACCGTCCGCGAGAGGATTCTGACTGCCGTTCAGGATCACCTCACCCGAGAGGGTAGTACTGCCCTCAACTCTATGGCGACACTTTCATGCCAGCTTTCCGTGGCGTACCCGGACGCCGAAACCCTCGGCCGGTCCATGATAAATCTCCATGCCCGAGCGTCCGAACTCGAGCAAATGAGGGTTCGTGTGCACATACTACTGAAGTACATTGAGCAAGAGTCTACTACTGCAGATGAGCTTCTGCAAACGCTGCGCAGCGACGACTACAAACCCACCAACGACCTTGCCCGCCAGAATTTGGACATGCAAAGAAGAATCAAGGCCATGGCTGCTCGTTTGCCCGAGCTGAAGGACCGAATTTCAAGTGCGAACCAGTCGCACATCTCTGACCAACCCGCCATTGAGCAAATCATACAGGAAGAAAGCAATTATCTTGAGCTCCTGGCCCAGAAGAGAGGATTGGACGCCCACGTTACCCAATTTTCGAGCCTTCCAGACGACGTCCAAAGGGCTCGGCTTCAGCTTGAAAATCTTCGCACCGATCTCCGTGCCATTATCCGGCGCCGAGACACCATTTTCGAGGGCTTGGTCGAACGCGAGAGTCCCCGCAAGGACCGATGATGAACACTTTCTACTGTAGCTTAGCATACATCACACGCTGCAGCTTGCATCACTAGGGTATTAGAATTACTACGCGCTAAAGACAAAACTCGCTTGTCAAAGACAACAACATCAACCAGCTCGTTTACCCCTAACTGCACCGCCCAAGTTCCTTATCCCCCGCATCCCCAGACCAGCTCGCTTAACAGGTGGCGCGGCCGGAGGTGCAGGGTCCTTCACTGGAACCGGTGGTCCACTTGGGTTACGTGCCTCCTTGCCCCCCTTGATGTCCGCTCCTTCTCCCAAGCGCAAGTCTGTCAAACCAAGACTGCCTCGACTATCGTCAACGTCCCCGGAGTGTCTCTGAGCCCGTCGGGCCCGCTCCTGAACACTGCGGAACTTCTCAAGCAGCTCATTCCAACGGATGATGCCGTCCTCTCGGCCTTTCAACCTGTTTGGTCTGTCATAGCTCGAGCTAGTGGCGGGGCTGGGATTTCTGTAGGCCTGCGGTTAGCTGCAGTCCACTACTTTTTACAAGCCGGACAAAGCCGACAAGTGGTCATGGGTTGGTGATGAGGGGAACTGCCATGAATACTCACACTTTGGGTGCAATATGAAGGTAGCCGATCGAGCTGACACTGTTGAGACGGTTCTTCAAGGCGGCGAAGGCGGAGGATTGTGGGAGGAGCATCAGAAGTCCATACAGGCATTTGTACAAATGGGGATACTTTTCCGGCTCCAGCAGCTGCAATCGAAGATCTTGACATCGTCAGCCGCGAGACATATCAATACGGGCGAGCGGCCACTTACAGGTGAACACAGGAGACTCTATCAACTGCACCAGCTTATCGATCTGGATCAGAATATTCACTGTCATTTCCAACTCGGCGCTGATATGGTTAGTGAAACATCCCATGGGTACTCACATCTAGGGTACGGAGCTTACAAGATCTGAAGGAGATTGTACGCTTGTTCGTAGGCTTGGGCCAAGAGGCACAAAGAGAAAGTGGCGACTGCATTGTGACACCATGAACGAAAGAGGGCGACAAAAAAAGTCTGACCATCCTGGTACTGTTGTGTAAGCGCTCTGGAGGGTGAAGCCTCAAGGAGAAGATCTGTTTACCTTGGATTCCAAGTTGCGGAGCCTCTTGCGAAGCTCCGAAAGCTCCGGTGCTGTGATGAGGTTGTTGTTCAGGTTCTGCACCATAATACTGGCAAACTCCACATCTTCCTCTTTTTCTATGCAGTCGGCGAGTGTTCGGTAAATTCTCTCGGCGCTGAGGCTAACACAGAGCTGGCGTATGATCAAGTTTCCGCGAGTCTCAAGCAACTTTCTGTCGGTAGCAAAGAGCTGAAGCAGATTGACCATAAAGTTGGAAAAGTAGTCATCTTCGCTGTTGCGAGATATTTGTGATAACAATTGTAGATCCTTGGTTACTACTGCCTCAGCTGGGTCTGAAAGTGTCTTGAGCAACGCCGGAAAGGTTCCGTCATTGAAGGCGAGCACTTTGCGAGGCGCCTTCCTGTGGAGCATGATCAGCCACGTTAGCGCGGCAACCCGGGTTGCCTCATGATCATTGAGGAATAGCAACGTGAGCGCGTTGACCGCTGCGGCATAATCCAAGTCAACCTGGGGATGAGCGGTCGAAGAAGGTGGGTTTGGTGTTGAGAGGGACCGGTTATGTCCCTGAGCAGGAGTCGGGCTTCTCATTTCCAAATCCCGAGAGCTAGAAAGAGAAGCGCGTGCACTAGACGCTCCATCTTGGCGCTCACTGGAAAGAGGTATGCGAGTGTTAGAGTGGGAAAGCCCCCCGATTCCGGGCTCGTCTGACAGCGAAACAACATAGTCCATTAGGCCGGCGTTGACACGGGCGGCAGCCTGGCGAATGGATTCGACGCCGCTGGCCATAGCAGGAAGCATATGAGCCAGGACTTTGGGGGTGAACGGCAACACCTCTTCAGGGCAAATGTCCAAAAACTCGACAATCCAGCGCAGAGATTCCAGCAGGGAATCTTCTTCTATTGTATGAATTAGTGTGAGTGAGCGATGTTCCAAGGGGCGAGGAGGTAAACAAACCAAGGGGTGAGTCGAGCGTAGCTGTAAGGATCTCAAGAATTTTTCGGTAGTTGATTTGGACATCTTGACCTGGTATCCAGTCCTCCTCGCCACTACCCTCATCATCGCTGTGTGAAGTGATTTCATCGCCGTCTTCGGGCTCAATTTGAACACTTCCTGAATCGACAGACTCCTCACGTTTGCGTTTCCCGCCCTCTCGAGACTTTTTGCTCTCTGCAATGCCCTTCTTAACTCTCGAGATCCGTTTGATCTCGCTGAGAAACTTATCTAGGCAAGACTGGGTGGCAACGTGAACGTCTCGATTGGGATCACTCAAGAACTTGAGCAAACCGCCTAAGAAGTCAGGTAGGAATGTTACCAGCTCGAGATCGGGGATAGAATCGAGCAGTGTAATCCAGCCAACAAGGAATTGGCGAGTGAAGGGATTGATAACCCAGACACGTTCTTGGAGAAGAGGTATGAAGCGGCGTAAGGAGAAGGCGGTCGGCGGAGGAGGGCGATCCTCAGCGTCTGCTTTGTCGGTGAATTCCTGGCCCAACTCTCCTTCCAAGACGGATACGTAGGATGCAGCTGACTCGGAGACAATGTCCTTAATGAGTCTGTCGAGCAGTTCAGCGCCGTTCTTGACGGATAACTCTGAGTCTGCTCCAAGCTAAGAACCACGAAACTCATGTCAGATTGCAAGCTCACGACAAAAGAATACCAGCCCAATGGTGGTACACAAGGTATGAGCTAGGCGGGGGCATTACCTTGCAGAGAGCGTCGAATATGTCATTAAAGTATATCAAGATCTCCCCTTTGGCCACCTTGGCAATGTTGTACATGGCCTCGCAGGCGTAGTACCTCACCCTGGCATCTTGGTCCGTAAAGCATGCCAAGACTGGAGGCACTATCTTTTCCAAATAACGTGGCAGTTCCTAGACATGGTTAGTTGAACATGTATCGCGACTAGAAACTAAGAGTCCAGGTAGGGAGGAGGTAGGCCTACAGGACCAAGTGCGATGGCAGCGGCAGCCAGGCCGATCAGACCTCCATTTCTGGCATGGGGCTGGTGAACAGCGTAAGCAAACTCATTGCATAGCTGCTCGAGGATGGCTTGCACTCTCGAATAGTCTCTGGTGACGACCAACTCGCGGATGACGCGCTCGAGTCTAAACAGAGTGGGATGTCAGCTAACAGGGGGGGTCATGGAAGATGGCGACAAGGAGAAGATAGAGGCCAGGTCCCGTTCAGGGGAGGGGTTGCATACTCAAGTGCTCCAACTTTCCGTTTGTCGTAAAGTTTGTCGTTCAGAGCTCGCTGTATACCAACATCCATGATTACTGGTGCAGGGAAGAGATACAGATACGGTGAGAGACTACAGTAGTGACATGTCCTGGGACTGCAAAGTTGGATGTGAAAATCGGTCGGGTAGGGCTAGAGCGGTGGATTGGGCTGGCAAACGCAACGCGGTCAGGCTCTGGCCGTGGCTCTGAAGGAGGCCCGGCTCTGGACCGGAGTTGCAGATGGCTTCACACCTGAGTCGCGATTAGACTGGGCGTGGAAAGACCAAAAAAAACAAAGCTTGGGCGACGGAGATTAATCGGGGGACCAAGGAGGAGAGAACACAGACTCGAAGGTGAAGATGTGCTGCTCGGCGGGGGTGAGGTAGTAAGTAGGTTGTACCTACCTAGGACGGGTGAGGTGAGGCAGGCTGGCAAGCAGCAAGACGTCAGAAAACAGGCGGGTGCAGGAGCCGGTACAGGGGGTTTGATGCATCCCGTGCGACACCTTACCTTACCTTAGGTACCCGACCTTCCTACGCCACCGAGGGGACTACAGACGATCGGGCCCGGCTTAATTATTAGCACGTACTGCATACCTTAGTACGCAGTAGGTGCCGGCCCCATTATCTGCATGGTACACTAAGGTAGGAACTGTGTATGCACCAAAGCATCATACGCGCATCTGCAATTGCTTCCCGTCGTCTCCAATCGCAGGCCATGCAGAACCAAAGCTGGCAGCCCTTCCTATTTGCAATATCCGTACGCCTCCTTTACATTCACCTTTCTTTTTCTCAAAACACAAAGCCTCCACTCCACCCAAACGTTTCTTTTGTCTTTATGGGCCCCAAGTTTCCTCCTTGGTCTCAACGCCCTCCTTCCACAACGCACCCCCTCAGTTGCTGTCAGGATGCTTTCAACTGTCGGCAACGGTCTCTCAATCGCATGAGGAATTCCGCGGCCTTACGCCCGTACGCAGCATCCGTCATATCCATGGGGGCTTCTTCGTCTTGCAGTCGGGGACCAGAGCCTTCTCTTCCGGGCTGCAAAACACCCGCGCACCCGCACACCCTCATAAGATGTCTGAAGGTGTCTCCTCATCCCGCCATTCCTAGTATACACTAGGCACCTATCTGGTCCCGGCGCCCTCCAAACTCAAAGGCCCCGTATGTGATCTTCTTTCTCCAGGCCAATGGCAACGTCTACCATCTGGCGGACCCCGGCATCCCTTTAGTTTATCTTACAGCACTGATCCTGGCTACTAACGTCCGATTTGAACTCCCCGAAATTCCAGCCACTTGGGTCGTCCCAGTCATTTTCGAGCAACCCTGGTTTTGTTCTGATCCATTTTCCCCTGCCCTCTCTTCTCCCCCGAGTCCCGCAAGCCATGACCGAGACCGGTGAACTAACTGTGCGTTTCAGTACTCTCTTTTCTCTTCTCCGCCATACCCCTCGTGGAATGTGCAACTCACCAGAGACACTCGCCGAACCTGCCCTGCCCAGCTTTCTTTTCCCGTATCCTTCATTGAACCCCTCTCTTCTGTTAGTCGTCTGCTTGTTCATGGTTCAGCAATTGGTTTATTGCCGAGAGACCTGGACTTTGGGCGGGTCGTGCAAACTGCATTCCAATCTTTCATTACTGTATCCTGATAGCGTACCTTGCCCTGCCTGCTCTGAAGAGGCCTGGGGTTTTATTTTGTTCTTACCCCTTCCTGTTTACTTCCACTGCCCGAGTAGCCACCCTTCTGCTCTCTACTTGACGCCTCCCTATCTCTATTGGCCTGGGCAGCCATGGTGGCACGCTTAGCGAAGTCGTCCTGTCATGTTTAGCTGTCTGTCCTTGAGGAAGTCCACCTCATGGCACAAAATCCTCGGGGAATTTACTTTGTCACCGCGGGCTTTGCGGATACGCGCAGCCGCAGCGTCGTCCATCTTGCTCTTTCCCATCGTTGAGGGCTTGATAGACGCTCAAGGCAATAGTCCTTCGAAAATTCTGGCTCGTACGCGAAGAATTGAATCAAGCTTGATCTCCGAGCCACCGATCAAGGTGCCCGTCTCGTTTCTCTCTTCGAGGGTATGTGTTTGGATTAAGAAACGATTGAAGAAGTACACGGCAAAACTGTGGCTCGTTTACTTCAGAAACCACAGTCTCGACAGGTCCAATGTTGTTTCGAAGTATAAGAAGAGTAGTTTCTGGAGCTGTGATTCCGTCTTGAACTTGCCCTAGAGGGCTCAGTCCTTTATACTTTTCCAGCAACATAGACTAAAATTATTCTCGTGACCAGGCTCTGCTCATGACACACCGGGGAATCTTCATCCTGTACGATTTGTAGCCAACAGCAACGCGCCAACTTGATCTCTCAGAGCAAGAGCAGGCTTGAGTATCCCGGTCCAGCTGCACGATACATGTCGGGCAAGTCTTTTTGGGATGGTAGGGGTCTGAGGCAACGGGCTTGGACACGGCGTAGTTCCCGCCAGTTCCAAACCCTGTTCCTCATGTTGTCTCAAGGCGGCCGGTACCCTGGACAAGGCAGTCGCCCAGAACGCCGATTTCTCACATGGCTCTGACAGTACCTCATAACATGAAAGACATCAGACGTTTGGCGGATTCAAGACCGCTCTCAAGTGCCCTCCCTACGGCTGGCTGTTCCGCATCCCTCCGATGAGGTGCATCAACGTAACTGCAGCCAAGAGATCTCGGGGTACACTACTGACGGCGATGACAAGATGGCCAGCTGTAGCCATCGCCCATCACTCGCGGCTCAACCTCCGGTCATTCTCATGGACCCCTGAACGGTGGACAAACCGTCGGCTCCTATTCATCCGCCGTCTGCTTCTCTGTGGTATCGTTGTAGGATGGTGGAGAACAGGCCGAGGGCCTAGGCGGGAACCATAATCGACAGCCCTTGTCTCTCTGTCCATACGTCATGTCTCATGCCGGTAGCTCGGCTGTATGGTACTGGCTATAGGAAACGGTTGTTCTTCAGAGACTGAAGCCTCCTTATGCAGTCTCTCTAACACATTGCTTTTTAGTAGTACCCTTGGATCCCGCCTTCCTCCTTCTCCATTTCACCCTCCCTACGTCCTTTCCTTCAATATTAAAAGGTACGTGTTGTGGTTCCTGTGCGACCTCTCAAGAGTTCATCGTGCATACATCGCATCGGATCGCACCCGCGGATCGATGACCTGCTTGCGCGCGCGCGCGTTTGTGTGTGTGCGTGTGTGTGTGTGTGCGTGGAGGCCAGTATCGCGGATGGCCTTAGAGCCAAACAGGGGTTGGGGAGAGCATTATCGTACTCAGTCTTGCTCGAAACACATTTGATTGGAGCGAGAAAATCGGAATACATGCGTGCCGTCTGTACAAGAGGGTGAGAGGAAAAGTGAGGGACAAAGTTGTGGGTTCATCATGATGCAAAGTTCACTGCCGTGTAATCTAGCCAAGTTGCCATTGGCTACGTAAGACAAAATTGGCGCTTTCACACTGACGATTGCAGCTCGACGAACTTGCTTGTTGTCCTAGCGCCAGCCCTCTTCTCGCCCGGGAAAAGAAACGAACAACACGCGCTCCGGTTGAAGATGATGCCCGCTCATGTGGGTGCGGCGGAGGAGAGGGCCGTCTCCGACGGGTGTAGCGAATCGGATCGGAGGATAAATCCCATGCCATGCAACATCGATGCAGTCACACATATCGGATCGATCTCGTTCTAGACATTATAACCGATCTAGCTGGGCGCTACAGGCTCTGCGTACATGCGCCTCTCGTTCATTTCATATCCCACACCGGTCGTAGCTGCGCTAACCCCAATTGCATGTGCATGTCGGTTGGGGGAGCGAGGGGCCAGAGTCATACGAGAGGGCTGTTAGTGGTGTCCACCGAGGATATCACCATTCTTGACCACAGCCTTTTGACACTTTGCCAATATGGCAGCTTGTTGAGACACCTCGGCCAAGCGACCGATGACATCCTTGTTACCGTCTACGAAGCCGTACAGGGCGTAAGGAATGCCCACGTCGTTGCAGAATTCCTGCACCAATCTCTGCGTCTTGCGCAGGTTGTGGCGCGGAATGCGAGGGTACATGTGATGAACGACCTGGAACTGCAGCCCGCCGTGAAAAAAGTCCAGCCATGACGGGCAATCAACGTCCATGGTCGTCCGCAACATCTTCTGAGGGAACGACTCGTGGGGGCCCAGATCGGCGGTGCTCATAGCAAAGTGTGATAGCGTGATTTGACAGTGCAGCGGTGACTGTAGGATGTGGCTGACCATCACAAAAACGAATCGGTCCCAGTTGTTAGGGATAGACTTGTACACGACACCGTAGCCGAACCAGGCCCAGAAGAAAACCTGTCCAGCCACCTCAAGCCAGTGATGCCACCAGGCAATGCCTTTCTTGGGGCTGCGCCTGAAAATCAAATGGTCCCAGGAGAGCCTGTAAAGGTTGAAACGGCCGAAGCACATGATCGGGTAATAGAGGTACGACTGCATGGACAGGAAGAATTTGGCCGCGGCGTCGTATGTCATTATGCGCTCGTAGTAAGATGATGTCAAGTTGCCGAGGAAGCGATGGGACACGGCGAAGAAAGGCATATGTTCAATATCCGGGTCGTGTTCGGGTGAGTTGGTAACGATGTGATGGACATTGTGATTTCGCTTCCACCAGCCAATGGAAAGGCCTCCCATGAAGTCGGCAATGAATATGCCGATACACGTATCGACGTGGAAGTTGTGCGTGATGCCCATATGACCAGCATCGTGAGCTGAAAATACAAGCTGGTGCCAGAAGCATCCTAGACAGGCCGCGCTCGGGACGTACCAGCCCCAACGCAAAAACGTCAGCATGCCAACGAACAGGAGCGTATAGCGGGTCATTTCGACGGCGTAGGCACGATAGTCACAATCGTAAAGACCCTCGTCCTTGATGCGCTGATCCAGCAGTCTGTACTTGCGCACGATCTCGGTTTGGGTCTCGTCGTCGAGGGGTGGGTATTTGTCAAGATCGAGGTTGATTTTCTTGCGAGTCTCCGAATCTAGAAACGCAGTGCCGTCCATCTCTTCATCGTCGCCGCAGTCCGAAGTTGCTGATGACACAGAGCTCGAGCTCTGAGGTGCACCTCGTCGTTGCCGTACGCTGCTGTCGGTGGTATCGAAGACCGGGGAAGCCTCCCGCGAGCTCACGTCACTGGGAGACGAGGGACCGAAGAAGCGTAGCGAGACGTCTTCCTCCGCATCGTCGATGTCTGGGTCGCCTTCCTCCAAAGTTCTGAACTTGCCACCCTGAATGGGAGGAACAAAGTTTCGCCAATGCCCCTCGATCCTGCCAATTCGATACCGGTTCATTTGTGCTTTCGCTTCGGGTGAGTGCAAACTGTTGGAGAGGTATGCGTCAGTTTCACCAGCGTCAAAGGTAAGACCATGCAAGAGACCTCTCCACGGGATGAACATACACTGTGACCTCGTCGGTGGCATCTCGACCGACCATGTGTTGAATGGCCTTGTCACCGCCGGGATGGTAGGCCAACCATCCATCGAGCCGAAGAACAAACTGGTCGACGATTGTGATCGTGCGTCCCTGGGCAATCAGGCCCTCGACCTGGCGTCGAGACATGAACGGACATTCCCTTTCCTTCTTGGGGGTTTCCCGATTACCCTCACCCATGGCGGCAGCTCCGGCGGCGGCAAAGCCAACCATTGCAATCTTCGAAGATACCGTCGAACCACCAGAGATATGAGTGATGCGTGGAGAGAGGAGGGAATGATGGCGAGCTGCCCGAGCAGAGTTTCGAAACCAATTGAACGAACGTGCACTATTGACAGGACAGGTTGGCAGGGGTAGCTTTTTGTCGTCAAGACGCAGAGGGAGGGAGGGTGGTGGGGGGCAGGCCACAATGTGATGTCGTTTCTTCCAAGAAAAACAAAAATCAAAGCCGGAAATAAAAGAAGACAGGTGAGAACCTAGATCTGGGAAAAGTGGTGGATGGGTGGGATCAAGGCGGTATTTCGTGGCCGCTATTCACCGCATATTGCTGGCTTAGATGCCAGATACTGGAGATGCGTCGGCGAACCTGGCAGGCCAAATATATGTCGAGGTACCTTGCATAAAAGCTTGGAACCTTGAGTGCCAGCGTACAACCAATGGCCACGTGTGGTAGGCCACCTCAATATTTGAACAGAATGGCAGAAGGGTTCTCGGAGCTTTCAGCAGCCCGTCGGGCCATCACCACCGCACAATGGCGCAAATCATGCGAGGAACAGCTCCGGGCGGGTCCACAGTAGCGTGTTTCCGTCGTTCCATCTACTCTCGATCCGAAATTAAGCCGCGTTGATCAAGAGCGACTGAGGACATTTGCCTCGACATCACTCATCAGATACTTCGGTTGGGATATGGAAATGGAAGCCAATACCAATATAAATGCTAGAGAATTGGTTACTCGTCATCAGCCTCGCAGAACCTCTTCTCGTCGTCCTCGGCTTGCCCGCAGCCAGGGCCAAATGAGTGGCTGCATCGACTTATTTGCTAGAACCAGACAAGACTCCTCCCCCGATTCCCCAGTATTTCTCTGCGTGGAAAGTGCTGGCATCAGAGTGTTTCCACAGGTCGTTGAAGGCCGAGAAGAGAATGACATTCCCTGGGTGGCTTGCGAACGCCTCCTTGATTGAATCAACAGCCAGCCTCTGCTCACTGACGCCAGGTACCGCAGCGCCGTTGCTGTCTCCCTTCCACGGCCAACCTGCCTCTGTGCAGACGATGCGCTTGTTCCGGTCCGAGAGCTTCGCCTGGACCTGGCTTACTATTCTGGTCACAAAAGGCCCAGCATCCTTGGCCGCGGTATTCTTGTCGAAGAAAGGGTGGATGTTCAATGCACAGTAGTCTGACGCGTCGCACAGAGCTGGGTTGGTCAATACCGCCACAAAGGTGTCGACAGTGACAACGGGCCCAGCGTACCCCGCCGCTCGGAGAAGCGACCGCGCCTTCGTCATGGCCGTGATGACCTGCTCAGCAGTGGCCTTGCCGCTGTTCACCAGTTCATTGCCAACACTGACGGTGTCAATAGAAGACCAGTCGCCGGCGACGGCCGTGACAATCGTCTGAACCTGAGCTTCAATAGGGCCAATATCGAAGAGGCCGAGAATGAGCTTGAGACCAGTATTCTTGGCTGCTGGAAGCGCTTTCGTAATCTGCTCGCAATCGGTGCCATACGTGCGGACGACCGAGTAGTTGCCCTTCAACTCAGAAAAGTCTGCCGCAATCTGAGCCGCTGACTTGCAATCATTCGACGCCGTGTAGGGCGCATAGGCGATGCCGTAGAGACTTGCAGAGGCAGACGCCGATGGCGAAGAAGATGAGGACGGTGAGAGAGGAAGTGAAGAGGAAACAGGCGTCTTCGAATACCCCGGGACGTGGGCAGAGTAAACAACTTCAGGAGAGGCGGCACCAGAGCGAGTCTCAAGACCTACGGGTTTCGTTCCATGATCCAGGGCCCTGCTGGCAGGTACGAACCGAACTGTTTCAGTGGTGGTGGTCAAGGGAGTGCCTTCCTCGTTGACGTAGACGACGACTTGAGGAGCCTCGGTGGCTTCCTTCAGCGATGTCTCAGTGACGACAATCCTACCGGGCCGTGTTGCTTCCTCTACATCTCTAGTGCCTGGATGTGCATGTCAGCACCCTTAGGACGAACAAGTATAACACGTTCCTTACCCTGAGGATGAGCGCTGGACAAGCCGACCAAGGCCAAGAGCATAGCTGATGAAAGGCCTGCGGACTTCATCTTGTCTTTCTCAAGGACTTGGCGGATTTAGAGTTAGAGTCCTCAGCTGCGATGCGCAGAGAACGATTCCCAAGTTAAGCGGACTGCGTCGATCAGGAGGAAAGCCGTTTTCAACTTTGAAAGGAACGAGTCGGACCTGGTTTCGAGGTAAGTTAATTGAGGTAAATGAAAGTCAAGAATTGTATAGTTCTGAAGGAGTGACTGGAAAACAAGCCAACACGGGCTCAAAGGAACGAAATGCTGTAGGTACAGCTTGGGCAATGCGAGGTCAACGGCAGCGAGCGGCGATGATCCGACAGAAGGGATGAGGTTAAGGCAAAGAAATAGGACAATGGCCAGCCGAAGGTGGCAGCGTGACAGTCAAGTATTCCGCAGCCAGGCAGAGCTTGCCAGCCATCAGTGGGCAACTCGAGCAGTTGGAGGACCGCCCTTGGGTCTTGGCAAATACCAAGAGATGCAGGAACGGCGGTAGATGAAGGTCATGGTGGTCGGGCCGGAAGGAGGGAATGGAGGGAGGCGATCGACTGGGGAAGGAATGCTGGCCGTGCTTGCAAGTGCGGTGCAGTGCAGGAACTCCGCAGCAAACGAAGAAAGGGAGCAAGACAATTGGACATTGTGCAGAGGAAGAACAAAAGCTCAGTCGTGGGGCTCACCTTGGTAACTCGGTTTGTTTGGCATTCTGGCGGCTCAGTTGGCTTAGACAGTCAAGATCGTAAACCGGTCTCAACCCCAAACTTGACGCATGTTTAAGAACGACTGAGACGGGACTGAGGCAAATCTGCCCCCAGGAATGAAAGAGTTGGCAGTATCCTATGCCACGAGCAGATGGAGGTTAGCTTGGGATGCCCACAAGAACATGCGGGCATGCCTGAGACGTCATCGTCCACTTGCATCCGTGGCAATGAATGCTTTCTAATTTCATGATGCACAGGCAGTTGCAATGAAGAGCATACGGAGAAGTGGTTTGACGATGATGAATATACGTGGTTTGCGAATTGGGTCATGGGTATTGACTGGCTCCCTTTACTGAAAGAGTGGTGTCGCGGTGCTTCGTCGGCAACGGGTACAATTAAACAAGACCGGGATTTGAATAAAGCTGGGGAAGTCAGCACTTCGAGGCAGGATTGTGCAGACAACTCAATTGAGGCTCGCGTCGTTCAAGTTCTCGAGGAACAAGGAGCCTTCCTTCGCAGCTCCAGACCCGACCTTTGCCTTGACCGAGGCGCCTCCTATCACGGCTTTCCGAAAAGCTACACGATTGCGACAAATAGGAGACCAACCCGGTGACCAGGGCCACAGGAAAACGCAGCCAGCTGCTGTCCCGTCCCATGGGGTATTGACATTGACTGATGATACCATCATCAGCCGTTGAGTCTAGAACGTTGCGTGGGTCAGACGTCCTCTCCATCTCTCTGCACAGGGCCGTGGAAAAAGGGGGAAAGGGGGGGGGGGGACACGGATAATGTCCAACATCAGAAAACGTCGCCAGAGGTGGCTGGAGTTGCTGCTACGCACCACAATGTCTGGGCCCCTTTGATTCACCAGCATGTCTCCCTCGTTTCAACAGCTGCGCCGCAGACGGACAGCATGTATACTGTATTGTTATCAAGTATTAGTATATTGTTTTCATTACATGAAATAGTCAGATGCGGGTATCCGGGAACCCGCTTCACGTGGATCTCAAGCCTCGGCCTTGAGAACAGTGAAAGAGAAGTGTACAACGACGCTCGCCCTGCGTCCTCTATATCCCTTCCATGCAAGCTCAGCTGAATCTGACGAAGAGACGCAGGCCAAATGAGTCGCGTCACGCCCGTTCGACGCGGTGTATTTCAATACACATCACTCTAAGTGCTTGAGGCCGTCTGTGTGCTGAATCTTCTATGATGACTTGGAGCTCGACTTTCGCGTCATGACCTTCGTGATTGCGTGTCTAATCGTGACGCCCGCCTTCTCAATGTCCTTCTTTGGAAGTCCCGATGTAACGCAAACCTTGAGCGCCGGCTGAATGTTCCAGCTGTTGTCCTTGGGGTCTAGGTTGTTGGCAATGGCCATGCTCTTTAGTCGCGTGATCAGAACACCATTCGCAAGTGCCTTGAAAGCCACAAAGGCTCGCGTTAGCGTTGTGTCTAGTGGCAGACAACCTCGAGACAGCAACAACTCACCTCATCAACGCATTCCTGCAAGAGACGCTCCTGGTCCTCCCTCGTCAGCTTTCGCGCCGCAGCAACCTCGGGCTTAAGCACGAGAAGCATGATTGGGTTCTCGGGCGAGCTTGTGCACAAAACCCAATCGCTGCGTGGGTCTAGCTGTGCTCTCATTGCCTTAATGTTGTCACGGCACTGCGTGAGGATATCCGGGTTGGACTGCAGCACGCTGAGAGTCTCACTCGCTGTCACGGCCAACATAGCAGGAAGGGCGGCCGAGAACGTGTAAGACGCCGCAGTAAGGCGCTGATGTTCGACAACGTCCTTGGCTCCTGCGCAAAACCCACCGCCAGCGCACAAAGGGCCGGCAAGAGAGCCTGCAATCATGTCTACCTGAGACGGATCAACGTTCTGTGCCTCGGTGAGGCCACGGCCAGTCCGGCCCAAGACGCCAAACGACCATGTCTCATCCAGGATGATGCGGAATTTGTACTTTTCCTTCAAAGCAACCTACACCCACTCCATTAGCCTGTATATCGCGACAACCATGACCCAGCCAAGGAACTCACGAGTCTGGGAAGGTCAGCGTGGTCACCGGTCGTCTCGAACAAGCCCTCGGTCACGATGAATCTGCGCGTCAACTTCTTGCCCCTCTGGTCCTTAACAACCTTTTGCATAACACGTTCCAAGTCATCCATGTCGCCATGTGCGTACCACTTAATGGTACTCCTAGATGCTTCAAGGCCCTTTCGAATAGAGTAGTTGACAGCTCGGTCAGCCACGATGATATCGCCACGTTTGCAAAAAGCCGGAATAACGCTGGAAATGGTCGAGAAGGCTTGGGCATAGACAATACAAGCCTCCGTACCAAGGTATGCCGCAATGTCTGCCTCGGTCTTCATGTGTACGTCCTGGGTGCCATAGAACTGGGGAGGGCCGCAGGGACCGACTCCGTAGGTGCGCAGCGTCTGAATGGCCTTGTCTTTGATTTGTTCATTCGCATTGAAGTTGTAGAAGTTGTAGGAAGCGAGATTCGTCACGGTGCGGCCGCTTGCCAATTTGGTCTTGGGTCCCGTAGGGCTGAGGCTTGTTAGAAAAACCGATCTGCGTCTGTCTCAAAGGGAGGTGTTCTCATACCCAACAATGACGGGCAAGCGCTCGCTTTCCATCTCCTCGAGTGCACTTTGAGGAGGAACCAGGGGCTCGGGAGTCCAGTCGTCGACTAACTCATCAATTTCCTGAACGCCAGGTCAGCAAGACGCATGTAATACAATTGCTTCACGCAATTTCTCAAGAGCAATGGGCGCCACGAACGTCGTCTCGCAGCTTGATGAAGTTCTGCTTCTGAGTGGAATAGGAGGGCGAGAGGAGGTAGCGAACGAAGAAGATGAAGAGCACTAGTTCGATGCCGGAGCGGATGGGATCGTTCTGGTAGCTGGACTGGATGTAGCGGATCAGGACAGCAGATCCAGGGACCTTCTGGAAGGCGGCGGAGGCATCGCGTAGCCAGTCGGTCACCATCGCCTGGACCTCGCTGGCGTCCATGATGGGCGTGGGCGTTGATCTGGGGTAGAACAACGGGCAGATCGGGAGGATAACACACGGAGGACTACGGGACGAAGAAACCCGAATCCAGTGATGGTATGCAGCGCGGCGACGGGAGCAAGCAGACAGAGGGCAGCTGGTCGCTTCGGGGTTTGTAGGCAAGAACGACAGGTTGGTGTTGGCGGAAGGGTCGGTGTGTGCCGCAAAAGTTCGAAGCAAGCCAGGTGGGCAGGTACCCAAGGTGACAGACAATCCGTGGTGCGGTTGACTTAGCCTTTGAGGTGCCTCGAGCCTCGAGTTCCGGGGTGCTACCTTAGTAAGACAGCCTTGAGGCAGGTACAGCGGGCGATGGGTGACTGGCAGCAACGCACATGCGAATTTTGACAGACCTTGCTGCCGCTGAGGTATTCTCAGTTCTCTCGTTGGCAAGGAGCAAGTGCATTGCCTGAGGGCCGTGAGCACATCTCAGGTGCGCGAGTGACAAGGCTTGTGACGCGGTGGTTCCCCGAGCCCCGAGCGTGCGCGCCCCTGGCCAAAAATTCTGACGCTTCTCTCTCATTGGGCCGCCCCACTCCTCATTTTCAGGGGCGACGAGCATTGCGAAGTCAAGGTCACCCACGCAATCTAGCCTATGGACAAGTCATCATTGCTGGCGACCCAGTCCCCAGAGCTCATTCAATGACAGCCTCATTTGCCAACCAGCTCAGCCCTTGGCCTTTGCCCACACACTGTACCTGACGAATGGCGCAGCGCCAATCAAATTGAGTCTCAAATGTCACTCATCGAGGCACAGGGCCATAATGCTGAACACAACGGAACTCGATTATACGCCCGTCCAGTCTTAGTCTGGGCAACTGACGATATACTTAGTTTGCAGGTCTAAAAGCCGTGATCCCATGCCAGCCATATTCCCTGCCCTAACAAAAAGAAGAAGAAAAGGAGAAACCAGTAGGTAACTGTGGAAAGACACAAAAACACGCCAGACAATGGACATTAAAAATCCGTCAATGCTGCTCGGGTCCCAACCTCCGCCTTCGTCACTCGTCTGGGTTCCTTCCTCTGCAGCGACGCTTCCTTGCGAATTCCCATTCATCTTATGGTACAATCCCTATTAAAACAAGCGAACTCTCTCGGAACGCTTGGTGGCTGTTGCCTTTCTGGATGCCGTGGAGACGGTGAGGCCAGCTCCGGAGTAGTCTGCCGCGCCCGTGCCGGTTTCCGTCTCGTTGCGCGTGTTGTCCTTCTCGTAGTTGGGCTGCACCAGCGCCAGGTCTTTGCCACTTAAAGAGGACAAGAATGACGTGGGGATCATGTCCCCTGCGACAGCAGGACCAATCATGAGCGCCATGAAAACGATGAACAGAGTGAAGTAAAGGATGGCGTATCGGAAGACACGCTTGCGCCTCAGCTTGGACTGCTTCATCGAGTAGATTGGCGGGCGGATTTGACGGCTGCAAAAAGGATTATTAGCAACGGTGCGTACCGAGACAAAGAAGCAAAACACTTACCCAGGGCGAAGCCAGAAGAGCATCATCGAGTGCAGCATGTCGATCTTGGGGATCAAAATCACCGGCAACATGATGAACAACAAGAAGTGGCCCAAGACGAAGTCGGCAGCGAACATGCTCAACTCCGTAATCTTGCAGAGGAACTCACGGGCAGGCTGCGAAACTGAGTGCCATCCCATAGAGTACCACTTGCCCGTCCAGAATGCAATGTTGGCCTGATCCGTCTTGATCTCACGCGTCAACGTCAAGGAGATGATAAGCTTGAAGATGAAACGCTGGATGGCTACTACGGCGATCATGCCAAGAAGGGTTCGCGCGAAGTTGAAAGACTCCAGGAGGAACATAACCTCGAAGAAGACGAGAAGCACAATGACGGCGATACCGTGAGCGATGGCCGCGAGCACACTTCCAAACTTCTTGCAGCACATGCTGAGGAGAGGACCCATAAAACAAGCCATGAAAAAGAAGACCATCAGCGCGCCGGCGTTGATAGCGACTGGGGCGAGGGCCACAACGCCAACTCGAATGAGTGAGTTGGTCGGGAAGATGGACTTGCCAGGGTTGTTGTCCGTGGTGACACCAGTTTGCGCGTTGATGTACAAGTAGGGGATGACAGTGACTGCCACGAGAAGGAGAGGAGTCAAGATCTCGCCCCAGAAGAGATTCGTAATCGCCGCACGGGGTACGTCAGATGACATCTTGGCAGAGGGGTCACCCAAAGCCTTGCGCTTGTAACCGGTGATACGGGTACGAGAAAGGCGGCAGAAGGCGATCCACGAAGAGGCGTGGGAGCGCGAGTTACCACGGGATAGCCATCGAAGGAAATCGCGGTAATCGATGAAGAAATCGCTCCACGCAAACTGGTGGGGGTTGTACAAGAACGGAGAGATGACCAATGCGAGCAGGGAGATCCAGAAATAGACGAGCGCGGCCTGCCAGATGGTGACAGTGGCGAAGAGAAGCATCATCAACAAACGGGATCCGAAGTAGATAGACGGGCCGGCGAAACGGGAGTAAAGGACGCCGAAAGGAATGCGGGCAGTAGCAAAGCCACGACCGGTACCGATATAGCGAGCACCGCCAAACGAGAGATCCTGCTGTACCGAATTGGCGTAAATTTGGCAAACGAAGACCTCAAAGAACGGGGAGAGCGAAAGGAATTGCTTGGCGAGACGCTTGCCAGCGCGCCAGAATCCTCTTTCCGTCAACTCTTGCACGACTAGGGGCACGAAAGCCAAGAGCAGCACGAAGATAATTGACAGGATACAGCGGTACACCCAATCCATGAGGGCGTCCGTGTTCTGGCAGCCGGTGGGGAAGAGAGGGTCGGTGATGGGAACGTCGCGGTTGTAGTCGCACTTGATCGTCTCATGGCGGAGAGCTCCCAAGCTGAGCAGACAGATCATGAACATCTGGACGGAAAGCATGATGAACATGTTGTTGAGATGGAAACCAGGATGGGCGTAGTAGAAGGACAAAAAGCGATCGAGAGGGAGTTGGGTTCCCAGGTAGTAGTATTCGCGAGAGAGCATCTGCTCACCCATACCGGTTCCGATCTTCGTGGTGAAGTTGAGAATGGAGCCGAAACCCAAATCACGACCCTTGCCACATTGGTAGTACTCGCAGTGCTTGATTCTGCCACCACGCAGAAGTGCGTTCATACCAGCGTAAATATCCTCGTTCAGATGCAGACCCTTCTGAGCCTTCGAGACACCACCACGAGTCGTCATGAAGATACCGTTGAGGAAATCGGGATGGCCATAATGCAGCTTACCACCAATCTGGGCCAATGTACGAGCGAAGAGTGTACCGAACGTCTGTTCCTTTCCGGCGGCAACATCACCAAGGATGCCAATGTTCTCGGAGAAGATGTACTCGCGGGCTCCAAGGATAGCAACAGGAGCAGTAACCTTGTTCTTGACACCAGGGGTGTAAGGGCTGACGTTGTCCGTTTTCATTTCTTCGAATTCGGCGAGAACACTGCGGATCTTGAGACACTCCTCGAGGTAATTGTCTTGGTTGGCGTCGATAAGCTGGATGTATTCACCACGGTAGAATATGAGGGAGTGATTTTGGTTATCGGATTTGCCGTCTCCCAAGATGGGGTTTCCAGAAAGTTGAATACGGAATTTGGGCTTGCGCATGCCATTCTCCATTACTTCCGAATGTCCGTCAATTAGGGCAGAGTACAGACGCGGCTCCTCACCCTCGGCAACGGGAGGCTCCTCATCGAGATAGGCGATCTGAAGATCAGGGTACGCGCGAAGGAGGAACTCAGCGTTCTCCATTTCCTCCTTTTTGAACTTGGCGAAACGCTGCATAGAAACACACAGCTTGAACTTGCGGCGGGCCATGCGCTCCAACTCCCGCTCAAGCTTGTCAGAGTTGCCTCCGAACATCTGAACAACCTCGGGATTCTCGACACGGTACAAAAGCTTGATGGCTCTGCTATAGTTCATGAAGCCGGATATTGTGCGGTAGAGCGTCTGGAAGCGAAGAGAGGCCCAAATGCGAGTTCGGAGGGTGTACTCGGGTGCGGAAGACTTGAAACCAATGCAGTAAAAGGGCAGGTCATCGATCTTGCTCTTGGCGGTATCCTTCTCATTCTTCTCGTTGGTTTCACCGTCGCCATTGAACTGAGAAGTCTCGTCGGCGAGAATCTTGGTGTCCTTGACGAAGCAATCCCACTCATGAGGGTGCAGTTGCTTGAGGTATTCGAGAAGGGTTACGCGGGAGTAAGGCTCATCCTCACGAATGATCTCACGGAGAGAAAGAAGAATCTTCTCACTGTAGTGAGGAATCATGACGGTGAAAGTCGGCATGTTGTCGACAGGCAGGGGCTCGGGAATGGGCGTGGACAAGGATTGAGCGAAGAAGGACAGACGACGTTCCGCCTCGCTGTTAGTGGGGAAGAATTCCGTCTTGAACGAGTGATCTTCCTGGGAAACGAAGAAGGTCGGAGCCCTCAAAGTCCTCTTGCCCTCTTGTTCAGAAGGAACCTGATGGTAAAGAAGCTTCTGGACGTGGTCGATGGCCAGAAGGTGCTCTCGATACATGGAGATGACGATTGCATTCCAGACCTGGGAGATGAGAACCTTCGGTTTGTACTTGATCTCCATGTCTGTGGTGGCAAGGATCTTGGAGTAGATACGCTTGGGAAGGCGAGAGAAGATGTTTCTCCACGGAGTCCAGATCGATGAACCAATGTAGAAAGACCTTGCAATCGAGAAAATGGCGTTGACCAAAACGTACCACAGGTAGGTGTCAAGGAAGAAGAAGATCAGATCAGTGAAGGCCATCAGAGCCAAGAGAATGAACGGTTGCTTCTTGCACAAGACATCACCGAAGATCTTGTCTCCCAAGCAGTCGATTTGCATGATAGTCAGGTATCGAATGGGATCTCGGAAGGAGAGAGTCAGGTAGACATACGACTCTCCGAACTTGGCTCCGAAAACGCAAGCCCACAGACCGTAAGACATGGCCATGTCGTTG